GAGTTTTCCGATGGCGGAGAGGAAGGGCCGGGGGGGGGCCGGGCAGGTATAGGGGGTGAAATGTCAGGATAAAGGATGGGGCGTCCTCCTACAACAGTGAGGATCCGGGTAGAACTTTCCTGGGGCGCCCTCCCGGGCCGCAACGTGTCCTGGTTGTATCTCCACTGTGTTTACAGGAAGAAGTGGGTTGTTTTTGTGGCCTGATGTGTGTCTCCCCCTCGTTCTAGGACATGACCCAGGGGATCCAACAAGGCCATGGGGTCTCAGCATTCTGCCTTGGCCCGACCGCCCTCTTACCAGCAAAGGAGAGGAGAGGATGGGGAGGATTTGCTAGCCGATCCAGAGCAGGAGGAAGCCATCGCGCAGTTCCCCTACGTGGAGTTCACCGGGAGAGATAGCATCACCTGTCTGACGTGCCAGGGAACGGGCTACATCCCCACAGGTGAGACTCCCGAGTGATCAGGGAAGGGCTGGTTTCTCCAGCAAGAATCTCCCAAGGATTTCTCACACACATCTTCCCCCAACAGCTCTTCTCCTAAAGAGGAGAAAAATAGACTGGCCTGAATGGAGCAAAGCTTGGCTGACTTGATCAACTTGGGCAGATTTCACAACTTCCACTGTTCTCCTGTGTTTGAGAACTCTTTCTGTTCATGGCTTGTGCACTTTTATTCCTCTCCCCTGGCCCTGTTCAGTGGGATAGTCATTTATGTTGTAGGATTTGTTGACAGGCATCTTTCTTTTTCTTTCCTCCCTTCCTTCTGCCTTTCCTCCCCCATCTCCCTCCCTACCTCCCATCACTCTCTCTCTCTCTCTCTCCCTCCCTCTCCCTCTCCCTCTCCCTCCCTCCCTCTCTCTTTTTTTTGTTTCCTTTTGTGCCAACGCTGGAGCTTGAACTCAGGGCCTTGATTGGCCTATTTTTCTCTCAAGGCAGGTGCTCTACCACTTGAGCCACACCTCCAGTTCATCTTCTTGCTGGTTAATTAGAGATAAGAGTCTCATGGACTTCTCTGCCTGGGCTGGCATTGAACTATGATCCTCAGATCTGAGCCTCCTGAGTAGCTTAGATGATGAGACTGAGCCATTTAGCATACTAGTCTGGAACCTTCTTTACCAGGAAGCAAAAGAATTATTAGCCGAAGGTATACACAGTGGGTCAGATATGGGGGAACACATGCTCAGAAGTAGAGACTGAATTCAGTAGAGGAAGGCCTATTGCTAAATTGTCTTTCAGAAAGTCTTAACAGCTTAGATGGAGAGTCACAAAGTTTAGAGCTTGTAAGAACCTCAGAAAACATTGAAATCAAAACTTGGCTTTAGAAGAAACAGTAACCAGCGCCATGAGATAAAGCTGTGGTAATTTCTCAGCTGCCTTGGCAGCACTGGTAGCTTTTGCACAATTTGTGGCCCTCTCTGGGTTTTTTTTCCTTTCTTGTGTGTATGTGTGCATATGCACATGCTTGTATGCACCAAGCCTTCTTGTCACTCAAGCCTTCTTGTCAAGACTGTCATTCTGTCACTTGCGCCACACCTTTAATTCCAGCCTTTTATCAGTTAAGTAGAGACCAGAGTCTGTCAGATTTATCTTCCCAGGCTGGGAAGTGATCATCACGTCTTAGCTTCCTAAGTAGTTAGGATTATAGGTATGAACCACCAGTACCTAGCATCCTTTTATGATTGTTGTTCATTAGACTTAAAATTTGAGATTAATTTGTTTTTTGGGGGGTTGTATGTGTCCATCCTAGGGCTTGAATCCAAGGCTTAGGTGCTGTCCCTGAGCATTTTTGCTCAAGGCTAGAACTCTATCACTTGAGCCACAGCTCCACGTCTGGCTTTTTGGTGGTTAATTGGAGATACAAGTCTCATGGACTTTCCTGCCCAGGCTGGGTTCCAACTGTGATCCTCAGATCCCAGCCTCCTGAGTAGCTAAGATTATAAGTGTGAGCCACTGACACCTGGCCCAAGATGAATATTTTTGAAGCAATCACTCAAACAGATGTTTGCTGTAGTGGGCTGCCGTAAGGTGGGGTGAGGATCGTCCACACGTGGGAGTTACAAAGGGAGTGTTTGGTTCTTTTCTAGAGCAAGTCAATGAATTGGTGGCCTTGATCCCCCACAGTGACCAGAGACTGCGTCCTCAGAGAACGTAAGTTCCCTGCCTCCTACCTGTTAACTCGCTTCTGTTCCCGGTTCCTTCTTACATGTGTGAATGCCAGGTAATTCTTAGAAAATTGCATCTATCCTTGTAAAATGGCCTATTTCTTTCATTGCTATTTACCCAAGCAGGGAAAATAGCAATAAATGCTATAAATGTTCTGCCTCCATCACGAACTGGGGAAAGAAACTTGAGGCTAAACATGTCCTAAGGGCCAAATAAAGAGATGGGAAGGAAATGTCTAGGAAAGGCACAGATGAGCTTCTCAGGGTGCAAACAATGTTTCCATGGGTTTAGAAAGACTTCTTGCCTTGTCTGTGGTTCCTGAGTCTTTGGACTCTGTTTGGACTCTCGTCCAGTTTTGAGTTTTATATTAACTTTTAACTGCTTCCAACCTTGATATCTGACTGCCCAGTTGGTCACGTGCGTGTGTGCTTTACTGCAGTAAACAGTATGTCCTTCTGTCGGTCCTGCTGTGTCTCCTGGCATCCGGTCTGGTGGTCTTCTTCCTGTTCCCACATTCAGTCCTCGTGGACGATGATGGCATCAAAGTGGTGAAAGTGACGTTTAACACACAGGACTCTCTTGTGATCCTCGCCATCACGGTATAACGCTGGCTCTCTCTTTCTCTGTTGAGCACTTTCCAATCTAAGATCCAGGATGTTTTTCACCCTTGTTTCCTTCCTTGCCCTGATACAGGCCACACTGAAGATCAGGAACTCCAACTTCTACCCTGTGGCTGTGACCAGTCTGTCCAGCCAGGTTCAGTACATGAACACAGTGGTTGGCACACATGTGACTGCTAATGCCTCCCTCATCCCCCCGCGGAGTGAGCAGCTGGTAGGTGTTGCTTTCTGGGTCCCTGCCCCTAAGCCTACAGTGAGAGGAGGAAGAAAGAAATGCCACAGTCTGCCTGTTTGTTTGTTTTTTTCCCTTTTCCTCTCCTCATTTGCACTTGAGGAAGATCTGATGGGCTCTGAAATTACGAGCAGTTGTTCACATGTGCATATATGGGGGGAAATGGCATCTAACTATTCAGGGAACAATATTGTTTGTAAGAAAAAACAGGCCTGCCATGATGTGCCAAAGAGATGCTATATTCAGTCTAAGGGTCATTAGCCTATCAAAAGCAAAGAGATTGGAAGTATTTATTAGAGGCTCTGTGGATTGTCATGGGAGTCTTGGTGACATATTTACACATTTTGTAAATTATCTCAGGCCGGTGGGTTTCAGGCCTATAGTGCTGCACCATGTGAAGCCTGTTTCGCTGCTGACGGATGCCATTGCCTTTTTTCCAGGTGAATTTCACAGTGAAGGCTGAGATGGGAGGACCCTATTCCTATGTATAGTAAGAACAATGCTTGTTTATGTGTGCTCTTGACCAGAGGAAAAGATTGGGAGCTCTGTTCAATTAACTGAGGCCTGGCCCTCCTGACCTAAATACCCAGCCTTTGGTACCATAGGCTCCCTAGCTTTATTTATCTAGAGACTCCTTTAGAACAGATATCAACTCACAGGAGAATGAATTCCCAAAAGAGAATGTTATGCCACTAGAAACATTACTGGGTCATAGTGTTCATGGTTTTTGTTGTTGATTTTAATCGGTCACAGGGTTTGAACTCAGGACCTGGGTGCTATTCCTGAGCTTTTTCACTCAAAGCTAGAGCTCTGCCACTTTGAGCCATAGCACTACTTCTGGTTTTCTGGTAATTGATTGAAGATAAGAGTCTCATGGACTTTCCTGACTGGGTTGGCTTTGAACTGAGACACTCAGATCTCAGGCTCCTAAGTAGCTAGGATTATAAGTGTGAGCCATTGGTGCTCAGCTGTTCATAGGTTTTAAAAAGAAAAAAAAAAGCTAGGTTCCAGTGGCTCATGCATATGCCTATAATTGTAGCTACTTAGAAGCCTGAGGTCTGAGGATCATAGTTTGAATCCAGCCAGAGCAGGGAAGTCCATGAGACTCTTATCTACAATAAACTACCAGAAAAGTCAGAGGTGGGGCTGTGGCTCAAGTGGTAGAGCTCCAGACTTGAGCAAAAGAAGCTCAAGGACAGCACCCAGCCCCTGTCTTCAAGCCCCAGGACAGGCAAAACAAAACAAAACAAAAAAACACCTCATCCTGATGCAGAAAAAATGACATTTGTGGCCGACAACTAGCAGACCAGCCAGTGCTTGAGTCAGAGGGTGGGTCCCAGGGAGAAGACTTGCCACAAAGACACGGGCAGGGCAACTCCATCCTCTTTCTACTGATCCTCTTGGATTCAAAGTCACCGTGTCCATATTCACTGTTTGGCAGCTTCTTCTGTACCGTTCCGGGTATCCTGGTACACAACATCGTGATCTTCATGAGGTATGTCTCTTGGTTCCCTCTCCTGGTGACCTTGAAGTACCTATACTACCAGGTCCTGTGGGCTTACATCATTTCCCCAGTGCTTTACAGCACACATGCCAAAGAGCCCCAGGATGCTTCCTGTGTGGAGTCCATGTTCACAAGTCACTGATTTCCCAGTCAGACATGCAGTTTTCTCCACGAAAGAGTCTAAACACGTAGTGACCCCCTTACAGTCCTAGGGAGACCTGGGCAGAGCTTTCTCAGGGTGTACATAGAGGGCGTGTGACCAGTTGTACACACATTACCACGTTATGGACCTTTTCAGGTTATTCTTAGGACTGTTAGCTTTTCAGGCTCTGCTATAGACATTTGAAATATAAGGATTCTCAGGAGTATTGACATTTGGGATCAGACAGACAGTTCTTCCTTGTAGAATACATTTCTGTACATTGTAGGATGTTTAATGGCATTCTAGTTTCTTCCTACTAGCTGGTAAGACTCCTCACCCTCAGCCTTCCTCAATTGTAACAATTCAAAGTACTTCCAGATATTTCCAGAAGTCCCCTATGGGTAAAGTGATCCCTGGTAAGAACCATTTATTTAGTTGTTTTTTTTTTTTTTTTTTGGTCCAGTCGTGGGGCCTGAACTCTGTGCCTGGGCACTGTCCCTCAGCTCTTCAGCTCAAGGCTAGCACTCTACCACTTGAGCCACAGCGCCACTTCTGGCTTTTTTCTTTTTGCTTATGTGGTGCTGAGGAATCAAACCCAGGGCCTCATGCATACAAGGCAAGCGCTCTACCACTGAGCCACCTTCCCAGCCCCAAGAACCATTTATTTAGAAAGTCACCTATGACACCACATCTTTAGCCATGGAAAGAGCCTCTATCCTCCAGATAATATAAATGTGAAGATACATGCCTGGGATCCAGATGGGTGTAGGGGCTTGGACTTAAAGGAAACTCTTTGGGTGATTTTTCTTGTTGATTTTATCTCTTGGTTTTCTTTTCCCTAGGACTTCAGTGAAGATTTTGTATATTGGCCTGACAACCCAGAGCTCCCTGGAGACACATCACTATGTGGACTGTGGAGCGAATTCCACAGTTGTGTAGCACGTGCTCTTGGCCAAAGTAACTGTGGTAGTAGCCAGCACCTGTTCCCAGGGCCCCAGCTCTGTGCCAGCTGTACATTGCCTGAGTAGAAAAGGAATCAGTTCTCTCAAGTCCCAGCAAACAGCCTCCTGCCACACGGGGGCAGCGGCTCTTAACAACACCAAGTACATTTCTCACAATCAGCAGGAACACAACCCAGTGCCTAGTTTATACCAAGCAAATAGCACTCAATAAAAGTTTGAAGATTTTAATTCAGGTCTTTTTGCAGCTGTTCTTAAGCATTGTAAGCTAAAACCATAGCAGGTTGTCAGACTAGAGGTATATGGAGGGAGGTCTATAGATATAGCTGAGGACGCAGCCATGCCTGATCTGCGAGGAGAGCACAGACTCACTCACTCAGTATGGGCACTTGTTTTTCCTGTTCCCTAGGAGCGTTTTTTTTCCTGTGTGTGTGCATGTGCGTGCATGCATGCATGCACATGTACATGATGCTACTGGGGCTTGAACTCTCCTTTGGCTCTTTCACTCACACCACTTCAGCCACATCTGGCTTTTTGGTGGCTAAGAGTCTCATAGATTTGTCTGCCTGGTCTGGCTTTGAACCAGTATTCTCAAATCTCAGGCTCCTGAGTAGGATTATAGGCATGAGCCATAAATGCCAAGCTCCCAGAATATTTTTAAAACAACAGTTGTGCCAGGAAAGGTGACTCCTACCTGTACTCCCAGCAACTTAGGCAGTGGTAGGAGAATTTCAAATTTGAGGCCAGACTAGACAAAAGATAACAATACCATCTCAAACAATTAAAAGGTAAAATCTAAAAGGGCTTGGAGCATAACCCAAATGGTAGAGTCCTTACATCACACCTTGGCTCAGTCCCCAGTACTGAAAAATACAAAAACAAAAAGGTAAAGGATTTTCTTCCCATTAGAAAGATGTTTCTACTAAGAGTTTATATAAGGCTTGATTCTCTCCATCCATCAGCAGGAACTTGGATTGGAGATGTGATAGAAAAATAAACTCTGCTTTTGATTCATCTCTGTCTCCTGGGCCCTGATGGGTTCATAGTTCTGGGGAATCAGAACATGGATGCCTAAGTGCACATGATGCACTTTGGGGAGGGAAGAGAAAAGAGTTAGTAAACACATGGTGTCTACCTATCTGAGCACCTGTTAGAACAACACAAGGCTGCCCCAGTGCTCTTCCCAAATAGAGCATGCAGCACCCCTTAGAGGTCTAAAGAGATAGGGCAGAGATGCCCAGTGTGAGAAGCTACTTACCTAAGAGGAATTCTCCTCCAGCCCCATCTGGCTTTACTCCTGAAAACTGGTTAGAGGGGGATTTTTGTTTGTTGGTTTGTTTTTTAGAAAGGTTTCTTGATGGGGCACTGGTGGCTCATGCCTGTAATCCTAGCTACTTAGGAGGCTACGATCTGAGAATTGTGGTTCAAAGCCTGACCAGGAAAGTGTGAGACTCTTATTTCCAATTAACTACCAAAAGCCAGAAGTAAATCTATTACTCAAGTGGTAGAGTGCTAGCCTTGAGCAAGAGAAACTCAAGGATAATACCCAGGCCCTGAATTCAAGCCCCAGGACCAGCATACACACAAAAAAGTTCTTCCACTACATCCAGTATCTGAGACACAGGAGGGTGGGTTGCAGTTGTAAGAGGGCAGAGAACACAGAAGCTTGAGTGGTCAGGTGCGAGATGGACTCTAGCTTTCCACAGAGGCTTCGAGAAACACCAGCAGAGCAGCGTAGGATGGCAGGGCCTGTACATTAGGTAATGTCCTCGTTCTCTTAGCTTGGCTTTTTGCTACTTGCTTAATGTTTGCTCTGCAAACATGCCAGGTTTTATGACTGGCTGACAGTAGCCATGATCGAGTTGCTCCATAGCAGGGTTGAACACTGGCGTCCCAGAGTCAGCTGAGCTATGTGATGTGTGCACAGCAGTGGCAGCAGTGGTGACAGTGACGAGTGATGAAGAAGCAGCAGCTCCCATTGCCAAGGGTGTTGCTCTTGGTGTTATCATGGGGGCTATCAATTCTTGAACAACAACAAAAATAAATCTAGCATTTTCTCTTAACCGTCCTGCAGATTAGAAAGGAGAACAGTGGATTCATGCGTGACTTCTTTACCATTGTTTTCCCAGCAGATTGAAATGAGGAATGTGCCTTGGAGGTGAGGCTTTGCTGGAGATTGTGTCTGGATTCCAGTGACTCACACCTATAATCCTAGCTAGTCATGAAGCTGAGATCCGAGCATCACAGTTCAAAACCAGCCCAGGGTAGTCTAAGAGACTCTTATCTCCAGTTAACCACCAAAAAGCTGGTGTGGTTGAAGTGGTAGAGTGCCGGCCTTGAGTGGAAAAAGACAAGAACATAAGGCCCAGAGTTCAAGTCCCAATGCCAGCACAAAAATAAAAAAAAGAACAACTATTGAGAGCCTAGTGTATGCCAAAGATCGCAATTTCTGTTGTGTTTTGTCCAAAGTTGAAGCTAGAAGTTTATAAGTCCATCACAAGCCTTTCATGCTCATCAGGCCTACATTGCCTCCACCAGCTATTCTGCAGCCCTTCCCCACGGTAGGACTTCCGAGATCTCTAGGTCACTTGTACAACAATTTACTCATAAGTCAGCCTATTTGTTAAAAGCTCTGCATCCATCAATGGGACTTTGATTTTTGCCTCGGCAGAATAGTCATTCTTTCCCATTAGAAATATAATTCTTGCCGGGCTGGTAGTTTCTACCTAGAATCCTGCACAGGAAGCTGAGCTCTGAGGATCCAGAGTCGAAAGCCAGCTAGAGAGTGCTCTCAGACTGGTAGAGTCTTATCTCACAGTTAACCGGCAAAAATCTCCAAGTGGAGCTGTGGCTCAAATGTAGAATACCAGCCTTGACCAAGAAAGCTAGGGGACAGTGTCCAGGCCTTGAGTTCAGGCCCAGCACTGGTACAAAAAATAAAAATAATTCATTCCTCATTACCTTGTTGGCACTCCTTTACAATTCTGTTCTTTTAGTTGCTTAGTGGGTGACTCTATTTCACAAATTATCCTTTCATTTACTGTGAATCCAGAGGACTGGAGAGGAAGGTGAGCCTTGCGTGGAGTTCAGGCAGCTGGCTCTTAGCGTACAGCCTTTTGACACCAGAGACTTTCATAGAGAGGAGGAAATATTAAGCCTGGAAAAGTAACCTGATAGAACCCTCATGTCTAGCCACCCCATTCACTCATCCTGCTGGCACGGAAATTTGACAGGTTCTGAGCAGAGAGACCCTCTGCATAAGCAATCTGGGGGATTAGCCATGATTCTGGTTAGGACCAAGCAACAGTAGCTAGTACAGCACTCTCAAGCAGGATGTACTTTAAGGCTTCGTGTTCCATGCCCCCACCTGGAATTCTGCATCCAGATGTGTCCTTTAGAGATCCTTGTGTTAAAAGCTTGGTCCCCAGGATGATGCTATGAGAAGGTACTGGAACTTAGATTGGGCCTAGAAGGAGATCTCTCCATCCAACCCTGGGAACACTTGCTATTATTTGCAGGTTTTACTGGGCATTCAGGAAGTGGATGGGCTGCAAGGGGTCAGCCATGTGCACCATGACTTCTCTTGCAGATGTCTAAGTGGTCACAACCTACTGGATTTGTTTGTTCTAAGTAGGAAGCTCTAACCTAGAAGGAAGCAGCCTTGGATTGACAGGTTGGAACCATCCATCTCTTTAGCACCACCTACTCATTTAGGGCAGGTTTCACAATCATCTCCCTTGCTCACCCTTCTCACTGGGTAGAAGGGTTGTTTACTTTTTAATTATGAAATATCTAGTCCCTTTGTTTTTTGAGTGGAGGGCAATCCTGGCACTTGAACTCTGGGCCTGGGTACTGTTCCTGAGCTTTTGTGCTCAAGGCTAGCACTCTATAACTTGTACCACAGCTCCACTTCCAGCCTCTTTTGGTAACTAATTGGAGATAAGAGTTTCACAGACTCCACACACCTGCCCCCACCTCCCGCCAAGGCTGCCTTTGAACAATGATCCTCAGATAATAGCTTCCTGAATAGCTAGGATTATAGGTGTGAGTCACTGGCACCCTGCTAAACTACCTACTCTTAACTGTATATCTTCATTGATCATGGTTTTATTTTACTACAAATTGGTCCTTTTAAGATACACTTCATTTAAGTTTACATCAGAAATTGGGCATTGATATAAACAAATCCAATTTAAAAATCTTTTAGTAATTTTTATTGTTTCTTGAATAGAAAATCCATCCATTTTCATCTTAAAGGAATGGGAGAAAGATGAGAGAAAGGGGTAGAAAAGTTCATGACTCTCTAGTTTGTCTTTTGTGCCAGACAGCTTTGGAAGTTTGTTTTATGAAGTATTGCTGTCATGGATTCTAACTGGTTTCCTGTCTTTTATCCATGATACATCTTTGCCACCATGGCCCTCTAGTGGAAAAGTGAATAGCTTGCTTATCTCTGACACACATATCCAAGGTATTGGAAAGCAAGGGACACCAGGTGGGAGGGAAAATGGGAAAGCTAATTTATTTACTTATTTAATTTATTTCTTTTATGTGAGTTTGAATTCAAGGCCTAGGCACTTCCCTTAGTTTTTTTGCTCAAGGCTACTGTTCTACCACTTGAGCCACATCTCCACTTCTATTCTTTTGTTTTTTTGTTGTTTTGGGGGGGAGTTGCTGATTAATTGGAAATATCTTAGAACCTCATGGCCTTTCCTGGCTAGGCTGGCTTCAAACCTCAATCCCCTAATCATAACCTTCTGAGTGGTTAGGATTATAGGTCAGTCCCTACAGTACCCAGAAGGCTGTTCATTCTTTTTTTTGGGGGGGTGGTCCAGTCATGGGGCCTGAACTCTGGGCCTGGGCGCTGTCCCTCAGCTCTTCAGCTCAAGGCTAATGCTCTACCACTTGAGCCACAGCACCACCTCCGGCTTTTTTTTTCTTTTTGTTTATGTGGTGCTGAGGAATCGAACCCAGGACCTCAGGCATGCAAGGCAAGTGCTATACCACTGAGCCACCTTCCCAGCCCCGAGGCTGTTCATTCTTAAGTCTGGTTCATTCAGAGGAGGTATGTAGAAGCTTTCAGAGTAGCTCCAGGAAGCCAGAGTGGGACCAAGAGAGATAAGAGAAGACAGCAGCACAAAAAGAAAAAAAAAAAAAACAAAAACAGGAAAAGGCCAGAGAACCACATCGGTGCCTGAGAATCAAGGACTAATGCAAAACAAGAACAAAGCAACATCCATGTGTACTTTCCAATAATTTTTTTAATTTTTTCATATCAATTGATGTTTTAAAAAATACAGAGGTGTTTGACACAGAATAGCACCATTGTATAGGACACATAGTTCCTGTGCCCAGCACCTGTTGGAGGGGGGCGGGGTCTTCTGGCCTGGGCTGTGGGCAGTCACTCAGGGGGGTGTTTGACTCACATCAGTTAATTTCCTGCCTCTGCTTCGACCCAAAGGTCGTACAGGAAGACAATAAATAAATAGAACACCGAGATTTTTATTTTGCAGTCTGCCCAGTTCAGTTCTCTTAGAAAGAGGGGGAGAATAGTTGAAACTGTGAAGTTGGGTTGAATGGACATCGGTCAGGTCAGCCATTCAGTGCAGAATCCTAGGGTGACTGAGATTGGAAAGTACTTAGGTCCTTTTGGTTTGCAATGGATTGTTTTTTTGTTTTTTTTTTTTTTGTTTTTCCTTGATTCGGGTTTTACAAGAAGCAGACAGGTCCTATGTCCACACCAAATTCCTGCTCAGGCCCTCCGATGTCCATGGGTGCAATGTCAATGATGGGGAGGCGTGAGGTCTTCTGTGACCGGTACTCGATGACAGTCTTGCCCCACTTACCAGTGTGTTTCTAGGGACAAAGAGAGAGCACATTACTCAGTCGATGCATTGCAATCCAGGGCTGGCTGCTTGGGATACCCAAAATCAGCCACCACAATGTGTGAACCATAGTGGATGCACCCCCAGACACTTCCAGGGCTTGTCAAAATCTCCAGTGTCTGTCTCTCCTCTACTTTCCTGCTTCTCTCCTATGGTAAGCTCCCATGGTGATCTTCAAATCTCTCTCTCTTTTCCTCCCTCCCTTCTTCCTTCCCTTCTTCCTTCCCTCTCTCCCCTTTTCTTCCCTTCCCTCCCACCTCCTCTTCCCCTCTCACATGCCCATACCATTACATAAGCACTGTCACAGGAGTTGCTAAGCATGCTGCATAGGGCCTTCTTTCTCCTGAGCCAGGACACTCATAGAACACATGTAGCTTTCCCTCACCTGCCAACGCATCTCAGGATGCCCCTCCCACTCAAGCCTCTGATCATCCCTTCACTCTAGGAGCAGGACTGACCCATAGTCCTAGGCAAGCCAGACCCTGAGCAGAGAGAGGTCCAGACATCCCCTCACTCACCGTGCAGCCATCCTTCAGGGCGGTGTAGGTGAACCTGCTGTTGCCTTCAGCCCTCATCTCTACATCATTGGAGCCCTGGATGAGCAAGGCCTTCTTGAGGTTGCCAGCTACTTCATCCAGGTAGGCAATGCTGTTCTTGCAGTGGTAGGTGATGTTCTGGGAACCCTCGGTGGACAGCAGGCGCAGGAAGGTCATCTGGACATTGGCGGTGTTGGGAGCCAGGTTGTCATCTCCATAGCTGAACTGTAGGGACAGAAAGCCAGGGTGTGAGACCTGGGAGCCAGAATTGGTGGAGATCGGGGACTACAGGTATGCTAGCTGTTCAGGGCTCCTCAGAGCTTGAAGATGGTGCAGGGGTGGTAGAGAGCTGGAAAGACATTTCTGCTTTCAGGAAAAGGAGAAAAAAACTCAAATGGATTTCTTTTCTAACTCTAAATGGGGGGCGGGGATACTTGTCCTCTTCTCCCCTTCCTCTCAAGCGGTGGAGAATACGAAGGAGATAGCTAAAAACATCCAAGAAGAAAGAAGCAAAAGTTCAAGCAGTCAGTTCAGACAGAAACACCCAGACACTCACATGGAAGCCACCATTGATGGTTTCTCCAAACCAGATGTGTTTCTTCTCCTTGCTCTTGCTGCTCCACCAGTTCTTCTTGGGCACACTTGCTGGGTTGGGGTAGACGCAGGTCTCGCCTGTCTCCATGTTGCAGAAAACCTTCATGGCATCCAAGGTACAGCCCTGGTTGGGGTCAATCCAGTAGTCTCCTGCAGGGGAGAGTTGGGACTCCATCAGTCTGAGTCAAAGGCCAAGGAAGGCTGAACTGGGCTGGCCAAGAATGTTGAGGGGCCACAGGAAAACCAGGGAGTAGGAGGGCTGGTCTCATGAAGAGAGGGGAGATGGGAAGGCATGGGGAAACGGGGGGAGAGGGGGAGATCTAGATGGACAATTTCAGGCTAAAAGCTAAAATTGGCCCAAGCCAAAAGTTGCAAGAGCAGTGCCCCCTGTTGGGTGGAATCCAGCTTGAAGTCACTTCCTGCCATGGCAGGACTCCAGCTATTCTGTTGTGGGATGGTGAAGCAACCATCTATTAGAACCTTCCCAGTCTGTTTCTCCCTTGTACTGCGGACATCTCCGCCTTGCTGTTGATGGTGGTTGGGCTCGGTGGGCTGACTTTCCCCTTTCAGGGATGGGGCCCCTGTCCTCCTAGGCTTACCGCTCTTCCACTCTGGATGGCAGAGTTTCAGGTCACGGCAGGTGCGGGCAGGATTCTTGCGGGAACCCTCAGGACTGCGAATGCTCTCGATCTGGTTGTTGAGTGACTTGAGTGTGGCATCTACCTCAACATCATGTTGTCTCAGATTACCAGCTGCCTGGTCAGCTCGCATGTACTGCAGGGGGTCAGGACCCTTCTCTCTCTGGCCTAGGCCGGCAAAGGCGGACATGTCGATACCAGGGCCAGGGGGACCTGGAGGACCAGGGGGTCCAGGATTTCCAGGAGGACCCTGCGGCAGGAAATGAAGAGATTAGCCAGCAATGGTGGAGAGGAGCCCATCTGGGCCTATCCCCATCCTCTATAGCGTGTATTAGTAGATCCCCTTGACAGACCTATGGTCAGGGCTGGAGGTAGTAGGCCAGGCTCCAAAACAAAACCCTTAGCAGTTTCTTTTTTTTTTTTCCTGGCCCCTCGTTTCTGTCTCTGAACACCAATTGTGTATCTTCCGACCCTCTGAGGGGACCTCAGCATAAAGGATGCATTCTGACACCCCCCCAAAAAAGAATCCCTGAGCTGGGTGCTGATGGCTCATACCTGTAATCCTAGCTATCAGGAGGCTGAGATTGAAGGATTGTAATTGAAAGCCACCCCAGGCAGGAAAATTGGTGACATTCTTATCTCCAATTAAACAACACAAAGCCAAAAGTGGCTCAAGTGGTAGAGCGCTAGCTTTGAGCACTAGCTCAGGGACAGTGCTCAGCTCCTGAATTTGAACCCCTAGATCAGCACGTGCACACACCACTCACACACAAATCCCTGAGCACCAGAAAGAGGCGAGGGAGAGCACAGAAGGAATCAGGATACTCACAGCAGGGCCAGTTTCGCCTGAACGTCCACGAGGACCAGGAGGCCCAATGGGACCAGGGATTCCATTAGCGCCATCTTTGCCAGAGGGACCCACAGGACCAGGTGGACCCTACATATCAGGAGAGAAGGGATGGTGATTAAAGAATGGGCCTCCCAGGTTAAGGAGCTGTTTGGCTGGATAGGTGGCCAGTATGGTGGTACCAGCTACCCTGTCCTCAATTCTCCACATGACTTAGGCATAGACTCTCTTAAACTTGCTCAAGGACAGTCAGTGAGCACCATGGCTCCTCCCCTCCTAAATGCCTCTTTGTTCCATTTTTTTTTAAGAAGGAATCGGTATCTGATACTTTTGCTCATTGGCTGGAGCACTACCACCTGAGCCATGCCTGCAATCCCCTAAGCTCCTGTTCGCCTAATCTGTTACCAGGGTACGAACAGTGAAGCTGCTTTTTCTTCATCACCTGTGACCTCAGGTACTTTCTCAGGGTGCTTCCTGAGTGAGGACAACTGAGCTCCAACACCACCACCCCCCATCTCCATGTCACTCACCCGAGGGCCAGAAGGACCAGCAGGACCAGAAGCACCTTGGTCTCCAGAAGGACCCTGTGTGGAAGGAAGTGACAGATGTCAGCTCAGGCAGACATAGGGATACATCCACCTTGGGAGTGAGGAACAGGGGTGTGTCCTCAGCCCGCTGCCTTTTCTCTCCCTTCCACCTCCCTGCGGGGGAACCTCAGAGTTTCTAAGGATGTCTTAGCCACAGGGGCAACTCAGGAGGGGCGTTAAGCAGCAGGAAGGCTTGGCATAGCACCCTACAGTGACACTTACGGGAGGGCCCGGAAGACCCTGAAGGCCAGTGAAGCCACGATGTCCCTTCACTCCCCTTTCACCAGGCTCTCCAGAGTCTCCTTTGTCACCTCGGGGGCCTTGAGGGCCCTGGGAACAAGACAGACATGGATTGAATTAGTTCAGGGCCAGAAATTCTCTGTACCCCCCCCCCCGAGCCAAGGAGTTGCAAGAAGGGCCACAGGGTCCTTGTGGCTCTCTGGCCCTGCCCTGGGTGGGAGAGGGGACCCAGCACAGGAAGCAATGATACTTACTGGGATTCCACGGGCTCCAGCTGGTCCTGAGGGTCCCATGGGGCCTTGTGCACCCTATGAGGACAGAGTGAGCATAGTGTCAGAGAAAAGTCAGGATGGCTTTCCTCTGCATCTGTCTCAGGGCTGGGCACCAAGGCTGCTGCCCCTCATTCCCTGCATTTAGGGAATTCCTCTGGCTCCCCGCATTAGGTCAAGAGGGCAGGGAAGGTGCAACCATGGACTTCTCCTGTGTCATTCAGCCACCCTCCTCACCCCTGACTTTACTGGATTGGGGGTACTCACAGCCTCTCCTCTGTCTCCCTGCTTTCCAGTTGGGCCAGCAGGGCCAGGAGAACCAGGGGGGCCAGGGGCTCCAGGAGCTCCCAGGGCACCAGTCTCACCACGATCACCCTATCAGGAGAGAGGTCTCAGGTTCAGAGAACGTTCCAGATGGAGCAAAGACAGAAGATCTTGCAGAATGTGATGAGGCTGACTCCAGCTGTTAGGTCTCCTTCGTCCTAGCACATCAGATACTCACCTTGACTCCAGCTGCGCCATCTCTACCAGGGGGGCCATCAGCACCAGGACTGCCCTGAACAGAAAGAAGTAAGAATGTAGTTAGAGCTGCTCCCTGCACAGAGGCCCTCTCCCAAGGCAGAGCCACCCCAGGATGGGCCCCTGCTTACCTCTCGTCCAGGTTCACCTGCAGGACCTGTCAGGCCAGGAGGCCCCACGGGACCAGGGGGGCCTCGGTCTCCAGATGCACCAGGGGCACCCTGCTTGCCAGGTTCACCCTGGAAGGACAGAGATCTTTGAGTGTACGTGCTAGCATCCTCATCCAGTGATGTACTGCCCCCTTCAGGGGATAGAACTGGTAAAAGGGGGCAGTTTCTGACAGTGTTGCATGAGTGGAAACCTCAGGACAACTTTTTTTTTTCCCCCATCCCAGAGCCCACCTCCCAGTAGCCACAGAGCTAAAAGCTCCTGAGCCCAGATGTGCACAGCTGGACCAGAAGGAGAGGCGTCCCTCACTCACCGATGGACCGGGTAGGCCAGGGAATCCTCTCTCACCACGCTGCCCAGGCAGACCAACAATGCCCCTCTGACCAGCCAGACCCTGGGGACCTGGAGGACCATCAGCACCCTGGGAAAGGAATGACAGGTGATGAGAAGTGACAGAACACTGGCCAGACAATTTCTGTACCACCACCACCCCCAAGATGGCAGGAGGGCAGTTCTCTGCACAGCTACCCACCCACCTCTAGTCCCTAGTCCCCTAGTCCCTCCCCCTGCCCATCCTGCGTCCGCTGAGCCCAGGAGTCTCTCACAGGCTTGGCAAAGGACTTACAGAAGGACCATCATCTCCAGCCTCTCCCTTCTCTCCAGGGGGTCCTGCAGGACCTTGGAGGCCAGGGTCACCAGCTCTGCCAGGGGGGCCGCTGTCTCCTCGTGCACCTTTGGGGCCATCTTTTCCAGAAGGACCAGGAGGACCAGGGGGTCCAGGATTGCCCTAGAAGGAGCAAAAATTTGGCCTCACTCTTCCCATCCAGGCTGCTGAAACCATTGTGGCTTCAGGGACTTCAGGTCTTCCAGGGGGATGCACCAATCTCCCCACCCTGATCTAAGCTACCTTTGAAATCTCTTCTCCTCTGTGAGAGCTCTGGGCAGTCAGCCGTGCTCTGCCAGGGCCTGGTATGTTTTGCCCTTCCTGTCCATGTGGAATCCTTCCTGCCTGGCTCCTTTTTGTCCTTAATGCTCAAGAAGCAGCTCTAACACTGCTGCTGCTGCAACTTCGAGCCTTCTGCTCGCCCCAGCCCATTCCCGCTGCACCTGATACTGGTGAGCTGAGTGAGTTCTCCCTATCTCTCCTCCCTCAGTGGAACCCCTAAGAGTCAGGTCTGGGACTTGAGAGCTTCTTTACAGTGATGGGTCTAAGTACATAGAACACAATCAAGAATCTCTCTGTGTTTCTCTGTGTCTCTCTGTTTCTGTTTCTGTTTCTCTCTCTCTCTCTCTCTCTCTCACACACACACACACACACAGAAAGAAGAGCTGATTATATCACTTCAATGGTACAATGAAACACAATGCACTCAATTTTTTCCAGGTGCTAGTGGCTCATGCCTGTAATCCTAGCTAATCATCAGGCTGAGATCTGAGGATCATAGTTTGAAGCCAGCCTGGGCAGGAAAGTCCACAAGACTTGTCTCCAATTAACTACCCCTCAAAAAAAAGACAGAAATGGAGCTGTGGATCAAGTTGGTAGAGTGCTAGCAAGGAGCAAAACAAAGCTCAGGGACCGTGCCCAGGCCCTGAGTTCAAACCCTAGGACTAGCACCAGAACATTTTTTTAATCACTAAAAAAAAATGTCCCAGATGAGGACAATTATGCCAGCCTTCCCTGTCCACTGAAGGAGAGGAGCCTGAAGTTGGAGGGCTGAGCTCAGACCAGCAAGGAAGGCTTCATGTTCCCACCTTTGCCCCCAAGCTGTCTTCAGGGATACAAGTCCAGTGGCCAATTCCTTACTCCTCCCAGGAGTAGGAACAGGTGAAGAGGAAAGGGGACTTAGCCTCCAGCTCTCTAGATTCTATTAGGGGCATGGTTCAGATTAGTTCACTCCTGCCTTGCCTTCCTGGGCCAAGAGTAAGGCAGATAGCAGCAAGCAATGATACTTACATTAGAACCTGGGGGTCCGACCCGGCCAGCAGCTCCAGGGAATCCAGTGGCTCCCTATGGAAGGAGAAGAGAACATCTGAACACCCCAGATCCTCAGGAGGGTGGAAAATCAAATTGGTGGCCAGGAAGTTAGTGGTGTTTTTAAAATAAATCTAGTCACTTTTTAAATGTTCAATGTTTTTGAAGGAACTCTTGCAGGGCATTTTCCTAAAATAGCATTTGCATCCTGACTTATCAACATCCTGATAATATATATATATATATACATATATATATGACATTCACACACCTATGTACAAATGCTCCTCAACTGGTGATGCAGTAATGTCCTGATGACCCCCTCATAATGGGAAATAATGCAAATCAGAATGCACTTGATATACCTCACCCACTATGTATCACAGGAACACTGTATCCACTTGATGTATCAGCTATGTACCCTCATGATTGCATCCTTGTGTGTTTAATATGTAACCATCTAGATTCCATCATGTTCCCAACTGAAATGTCCAAGATTAGTCAGTTTTTATCATGGTAGGCTAGAATGAGCTCAACACACCCCGTGTAAGCTGCCTTGATATAGACAAGTCTAGATGACAATGGTTCTAAATACTTGTATTTATTAAATGGCAACATTCAAAAACACGTATCTCCAGTCATTGACTTGAGTTTGTTTGTATTGTATGCATAATCTGAAAGTGATCTGCTTTATTTTATACCTCACAAAGAAAGACTAGGGCAGAATTAGAAAGAATATTTTTTCTGATCAAAAAATCAAAGAAGAAAGACTATTGTTTGGATTTTATAAACAAAGGTCTCTAATTTTTCTACTTGAAAACTTCACATGTTTTCTGTGATGTTAACTTTTTCTTCTGTGGCAATAAAATGTATTCAACTCTCGCTATTTTATAATTTATTTGTGAATACTAAATCAGTTTAAAAAAAACATTGGTTATTGCGAAGGAAAAAAAAAACCAAATTGGTGGGTCTGGAGGGGTCGCCCCAGAGGTGGGCAAAGGGCATGAGACTGCTTAAGAGTAAAAGGGTGAGCTAGAGAGAGGACAAGCCCTTCTGGGCCTGGCTATGGAAGCAAGCACCTTGGCCTCCACCTGTTGCTCAGTGTGCTTCAGTGAATTGAGAGGCCAGGACTAGGGTTGGGGGGCTCCCAGGATACCTAGGTATCCTGTGGAAAGGGGAGACCTCCTCTCCCACCTTGGCTGAGGAATGGCCTTAGTCTGGGGCATGAGCAGGAAGAGATGGGGGAGTCCTGAGCATGGCCCATGGGGAAAGCCTAGGACCAGAACTCCTTTGTGGGATGGGCTAGTAGGGAGAGGGATCTCACTTACCGGAGGGCCTTGGGCACCTCGTGCTCCTTTAGGACCAGTCACTCCAGTAGGACCCTGGGGAAAAGACACAATGAGAGCAGGTGGCCTAGCAGCACAGTAGGCTTCTGGCTAAGCCCCATCAATGGACTCCTGAGACTTCCTGCAGAAGGTGCCACAGGTAAATCTGTCCACCTCATCAATGGCATCCACAAAGCCAGTCCCCAGTGGGGTTGGGGGGGTAGGATGGGGGATGATAATCTCCCCTACTGGCCTCTCACCTCCCCCAGCTGCTTCGTCCCAGTCACCTGTGATGCATGGAGATGCAGCCTGTACTTTGTCAATACTCCCATCCCTACCCATGTACCCCACATGCCACACCCCAGTGAAAGCTCTCCTCACCAGCCAACAGTGGGGGGTGACTTCTAAACTCCTAGCCAAAGCTGTCTGGTATCTCTTCTTGCCCTGGCAATCCTGTCTCATGGGAACAATTCTGCAGAAGCTTGGCTCGACCTACCTGTGGTCCAGGAGCTCCAGAAGGACCCTGAGGGCCAGGGGCACCAGCATCACCTTTCTGTCCAGCCTCTCCCTGCTCACCCTTGGCACCAGGTTGGCCATCAGCACCCTGTAACAGGAAGAAGGGGCAGATGAAGGAGGGACAAGCCACACATTCATGGCTCTGCCAAAAAAGAAGAAGAAGGCCAGAGATTCCATGTCTGTCTGCCATCTGTCTGTCTCTACCCTGGGCCTACAAATGTGATCTGAGATGGGGTTGGTATATTCATATGGGAAATATGAGAAGAGCGAGGGAGAGTCTATTTTCCTCTGCCTCGTGTACTCTTCCTTCCTACCTCCCCTTAGGTTAGACGGGTGCCTTCAAGAAGGTGGAAGTGAGGCAAGAGATACTCACAGGAGGTCCAGCAAATCCAGCAGGTCCTGGGGGACCAGTCTCCCCACGTTCACCCTGTGAAAGGAAGTTAAAAAGAAGTTAAGCCCTGCTGCTTGCCTGCTCCTGTGCCTACCAGAGAGGTCAAAGCTATCTGTTCAGCCCAGCCTTGTGTCCAGTCACCACCATTGAGGAGGCATCTGAAAATGATCTGAGCCCTAAAGAAAGAGACTCAGGGTGGAAAGCCTTCCTGGGATCAAAGGTCCTGATTCCTCACTACATCCCAGGCCCATATGGCTTCTCCCGTGCTTTCCTATCTCTCTCCTGTCCCAGGCCCAAATAGCAAGGCTGAAGGCAGAAATGGTTTCTGTTTAGGAGCCTAGAACCAATCCAGCTCAGAGACACAGATACTCACCGGGGCACCACGAGCACCAGCACTTCCAGTGGGCCCAGGAAGTCCAGCTTCGCCCTAGTTGGGGGAAGGGGGGGGGACCAAGAATAAGTGGTGGGGAGCAGAGTGGGGTCCTGGTGGTAGAAGGGAAACTTGGGTTCCTAGCCCCTTCCTGGCCTGGCCTGGCCTGTTTTCTTTGTTTTGTCCACCTCTACAGCCTCTTTGCAGCATGTGTGTGTGTGTGTGTGTGTGTGTGTGTGTAGGGGGGCTTGAACTCAGAGTCTCTTGCTCTTGCTTGCCTTCCCCCCACCCCCCAAGGCTGTCACTTTACCACTTCAGGCATACCTCTGCTTCTGGCTTTTTGATGGTTAGTTGGAGATACACGTCTTTCACAGATTTGTCTACTTTGACTGGCTTTGAACCTGGATCCTCAAATCTCAGTCTCCTTACTAGCTAGGATTATACGCATGAGCCACCAGCACCTGGCTTTCTTCACAGCTTTTTTTTTTTTTTACTCCAATCTAGTTGCCTTGCCCAACAGATCCCACAGTCACAGGCTCCACTGTTAAGAGTAGCCCCCCTCCATCCCCCACCTCCTTTCTCAGCTGCTGCCCCAGTGGCAGGAAGGTGATGGGGGGTAGGGAAGAGGCTTGCTGGGGAGGCTGAGGAAGCTTGGGCACAACTCACCTTCTCGCCATTGGCGCCTGCTGGGCCAGGGGGACCGATGGGACCAGTTAAACCCTGGAGGAAGAAGGCAGAAGTGAGAGAGGCAGGGAGAGTGGGAACAGGCACACAGGGCTCTGCAGGACCCCATACCTAGTTGAACCCTTCCAAGATCCTCAGAGCTTCCACTGTGTGGACCCCAGGTTTGTTTCTATTTTGTTGTGCCAGTCCATAGTCTTGCAACTCAGGGCCTGGGTGTTATCTCTTTTTTGTTCAAGGCTAATGATCTACCATTTGAGCCACAGCTCCACTTCTGGCTTTTTTGTGGCTAATTGGAGATAAGAAATCTCATGGATTTTCCTGCCCAGGCTGGCTTCAAACTGTAATCCTCAGATCTCCTGAGTAGGTTGGATTACAGGTGGGAGCCACCAGCACCCTGGCTTGGTTCCAAGTTTTGACAGTGAATTTCCTCTGGTTTTTTAGTCCCCTCCTCCGAGTGTCAGACTCCCATGGGATCCTCTGTGGCTGTCCTCACCCCACTCTTCAGGGGCCTACAACTAGCAGTTACTTACTCGTGCACCGTCCTTTCCAGGGGCTCCCTCGGGGCCTTTCTCACCAACATCACCCTGGAGAGAAAGAAACCAGACACTTCAGGGGTGCACTCCAAAGCCCTTTGCCAGCTCATCCCGACTTGGCTGGGGCCCTCGGGCTCAGTTTCTGCCCAACAGGGGTTTGCTGTGGTCTCAGAGCAATTGGCAAGGAGTCACAGGAGATATAAGAATGTGTGTGTGTGTGTGTGTGTGTGTGTGTGTGTGTAGGGGAGCTTGAATTCAGGGTCTCTCAAGGAGGGGTAACCAAGACCCTCATCTCCAGGTGGCAGGGAGTAAGGTTTGGGAGGTGGCAAGGTTGTAGTTTGGGGAAGAGGCATGCTAACCTTGGCACTTACCCTGTCTCCTTTGGGTCCAGCGATACCAGCTGCTCCTCTCTCCCCCGGCATTCCTTGAAGACCTGGAGGGCCCTGAGCCCCAGGGGGACCAGCTGGGCCAGATGCACCCTAGAGTGGAGACAAGAGGAGTTTGTCATGGGCAACACCTCTCCCAGAGCCCAATGTGTGAAGCCTGGAAAATCAGCATGCCCTTCCTTCTTCCCTTCCTCCTATCCAGACCTTCTTTGCAGTGTCATCTGTGTAATGTGTGTGTGTGTGTGTGCGCGCGCACGTGCACGTGCATGCCCATCCTAGGGCTTGAACTCAAAGACTAGGCTCTATCCCTGAGCTTTTGTGTTCAAGGCTGGCATTCTTTCCACTTGAACCCCAGCTCCCCTTCTAGCTGTTCGGTGGTTGATTGGAGATAAGAAGTCTCACAAACTTTCCTGCCCAGGCTGGCTTTAAACTGCAAGTCTCAGCTATCAGCCTTCTGAATAGTAAGGATGACAGGTGTGAGCTACCAGCACCCTGCTCCTGTGCCTTCTTTCATTCATCTCTCTTACACTTCATCCCTCTTGAGCCTCCTCCCTTTGCCTTCAGGGTCTCCCAGAACTATCCAGAAAGACTTTTTGAGAACAACCCGCCTCACTTACTTTGGGACCATCAGTGCCAGGAGTGCCAGGGAGACCACGGGAACCTTGAAGGCCCTGGGCACCGGGAGAGCCGCGTTCACCTGGGAAACCTCGCTCACCCTGTAGCAAAGATCACCAAGGAGCAATCAGGCAATAAGCAATTGAGAGGAGGCCAGGGAGACAGGGAGGGGAGCAAGGCCCCAGGACCTCCCCCCAGCAATGGCCAGTAAGACACTCACCCTGGGACCCACAAGGCCTGGGGCTCCAGCTTCACCAGGAATACCCTAGAAGACAAAGATGGATGTAAGAATGAAAGCTGCATGTCCCAGATCCTGGGATAGCCCTCCCCCTTCAGCAAGGGTTGAGCATTTCCCCCAGGGAGAAATGAGCTCAGACTGTCTTCTGTGGAGAACTGAGACAGATGAGGGACACTCCAGTGCCACACGTGGGTCTAGGTGCCCCCCTTGCCCTTGTCTCCAGCCGAAAAGGTTCCATGTTCAAAAACCCTGGTGCTCACCTGGTCACCTGGTTTGCCACCTTCACCTGGGGGACCAGGAGGGCCTGGAAGTCCCTGGAATCCAAAGTGATATGTGTTAGCAAAGGGGTGAGGGTACTTCCCCAGCCCTCTAGTGAAGCACAGAACAGATACACCTAAAGAGGCAGCCATGGCAGCCAGGGAAAGCTCATCAGTTCAAATGCAAGAATCAGAGAAAGAGAAGAAAGAAATAAAGAGAGAGAGAGAGAGAAAGAAATAGAGAGAGAGAAAGAAAGAAAGAGAGAGAGGGGGGAGGGAGAAACAAAGAGAGAGAAAAAAAGGAAGAAAGAAAGAAAGAAAGAAAGAAAGAAAGAAAGAAAGAAAGGAAGGAAGGAAGGAAGGACAGAGGAAGGAAGGAAGAGAAAGAAAGAAAGGAGGGCTGAAGCCATGGCTCAAAGATAGAAAGCTTGCCTAGCAAGCTCAAAGCTTCAAGTTCTAACCCAAGTACCAAAAGGAAAATAAAAAGGGAAAAGTAGTGAACCTCCACCCATGGTGCCTGTTGCTGCCAGAGAGCTGTGAGCATAGTAAGGGACTGGATAGAGAGCTTGATCGGGACACCTTACCTGGAACCCAGATGGCCCAGGAGCACCCTGTTCGCCTCGTTCACCAGCAGGTCCCTGCAGAGGGGGGAAAAAGGGGGAGGAGGGGGTGAGCTGAGCCACTGCTCCAGAGAATCTGTGGACCACATCTGTAAGCACCTCTATGGTCAGCAAGCCAGACAGGACAGATGCCTGCACTGTGTATGAATATGTGTGCCTGTTCCCATCAACCCACCAGGGCGGGTCCCCACTGTCTCCAGGAACACCCTATTTCAGCATGGGATGACTCTGGTATCCTAGACCAGCCCAAATCCATGTCTGTTAGCTCCCTTACTAGATGGGCTGAGGCTCCCTGACTCTACCAACCCTGCCCGCAGGGCCAACCCAGGGAGGCCTAGGCAGTACTTACAGCGGGGCCAGGAGGTCCTGCAGCACCTGTCTCGCCATCTTTACCAGGAAGACCCTAGAGGCAGAGGAAAGGGTGATGTGATGACGGAACATTCTTTTTCCAGTCCCACAGTTCCTGGCAGATGCACTTCTGTACACAGGATTTCCAGACCTCTAGTGAGCTCCATTTCCACCCTCCTATTTGCCCTGCCATCAATGATATTTTCCCTCAGCTTTCCCCCCAGATCCCCTTCCTGCTGCTCCATAGCCGCCAGAGGCTCCCTGGGTGGATGGCAAAGGGACCAGCCTAACATGGGCTCAGCCACGAAAATCAACTCCTGCTAACCAAGGATCCAAGGACCGTAGTGAGAAAGGCCATCCTATGTCTCCTGGAGACATCCAGCCCACACCAAGTCATGGGTGATACGTGGGGAAGGGTACTTACTCTAAGACCAGGAGCACCAGGCAGTCCCTTCTCACCAGCTTTACCAGCCTCACCCTAGAGAAAAGACAAAAAGATGATGAGACGGAGGGCTGGGTGAGAGGTAGAGCAGACTGAGAGACTGAGGCTTGGGGCAGTCAAGTATCAATCAGCCTCTTTTGTGTTTAAAAGCAACCAAGCCACCAAATAGTGCCTCAAGGTACAATCGTATGTCTGTGGTAGCCCAAGGCTCTAGTGGGCCCTGGGTGTCCCCAGATTATATGTACTCCCTCAGGACATGAAGGCTGGAGCTACTCATGGCACAGAAATCTCATTCATCCCTGTTCTGGATCCAGCCTTTTCCTCCAGGAGCAAAGAAGGGAGTAGTACCACGTAGAAAGGAACCAGATGAGAGAATAATCACTTACATTGGCACCTTTGGGGCCAGGGAAACCCATGACACCTGGCTGCCCACGAGCTCCCTGAGGACCCGGGGGTCCAGGGCGACCATCTTCACCAGGAGTTCCCTGAAAGAGAAGATGCCGTGCTCAGAACATGGACCTTCTTGACTACATTCCTTGGTCATCTAGGACTGACCAAGGCTGTCACTAATAGCGGACACCACACACATAGGTCCTTATGTTACAAGGCACTGCTAAGCCCAGACAGTCCACCCTGAGACTGCATTGCCTTTCCTCCTAGAAGACGCTCAAGTGCACAAGAGGGTAGCATTTTCCCAGTTTGCAAGAACTGCCCAAGATATACCTGGCTCCAGAATCCACTATCTTAAAATTCACACCACTCCCGAGTGCCTTCACCCAAACTCCTGTCTCTCTTCCCACCACCTCCCCAAAGATATCACCCACCTACCCTCCCAACATCCTTGGGATGAGGGACTTACAGAAGGACCAATTTTGCCTTGAGGACCAGCATCACCAGGGCGGCCAGTGAGACCCTTTGTGTGGGAGAAAAAAAGAGGGTGGCTTCAGGAACAGGTGCACCATCTTCGCAGCACAGGTTGTAGGAAGGGAGCTGGTGGGAAGGGTCTGAGCATCTTCTCAGAATCTGAAGCCAAGAGTAATTAGCAGCCTCTCTACTTACCCGGGCCCCAGGAAGGCCAGGTTCTCCAGGACGGCCAGGGTCACCATTGGCTCCTTTGGGGCCAGCAAGACCACTGGGACCTCGCTCTCCAGGGGCTCCCTGTATCACAGGAAACAGGAAGTCAATGGGATGTCCTCTAACCAGGAATGCAAGGAGGCCCATTCCCATTTTTTTTCCCCACTCACCTTGGGACCAGCCAGACCATCCTGACCTGGGAAACCTCGGTTGCCAGGAGCACCCTGGAGGAGAAGGAGGAAGGATTCAGTGAGTGGCAATGGCTCTTCACAGAACCAGGCCTGGAAAGAGCCCCCCACCCAGCATTCAGGAGTCAATCCCATCTACCCACCAGCTATAATCTCCATGGTGCAGCAGCTGCAGCCTGGGAGATTCAGAGCCGTTAATTTCTTAGCCCTGCCTCCACCATTCTGTTCACTGCTTTGCATCATCTAGAGAGACTAGGATCCTAGCTATCCTCCTGATTGTGGATGGAGAAGTGAGGAGAATCCTGGCCAGAAAAACCTTGGCAAGACCACAGAGCCATAGGACTGCACTTGAGTGGAGTGGCTCCTTGTCTACTTACTCTTTCTCCAGGGGGACCAATGGGCCCAGCACCACCAGGCTCTCCACGGGCACCTCGTTTGCCTTCTTCACCAGCAGGACCTGGGGCTCCTTGGGGGCCAGCAGGACCCTAAGGATGAACCCAAAGAAAGACATTAGTGAGTCTTTACCTGGCCCTGGGGAAAACACTGTCCCCTGAACGCAGGACTAGAGGCCTGAGTAAAAGAGAAGAGCACAGCAGGATCAGCCATGAAAGAGCAGATATGGCCCAAGAGAGAGAGAGAAATGGTGCAAAATAATAGAAACGAATCCATCTGGGAGCAGCCCTCTCTGGTCCTAGCAGTCCCTTTAAGCTTCCTCCTCTAGGTACAATGGGAGAGGGCCTACACGGGAGGATGATCTGGGCGGAGGGATACTCTGTGCCCTCAAACAGACAAAGGGGAGATAAGAGTCGGCAGGGTAAATACTCACAGGTTCTCCTTTGGGGCCTTGTTCACCCTTGAAGCCAGCAATACCAGGTTCACCCTAGGTGAAAGAGAGACAGGGGCTCATCCTGGGTTCTCTCCCCAAAGCCTGCCCACCTCCAGCAGCCCTGCTAGAGATATCCTCAGAGCACACTGGGTGAATCAGGGCAAGAGAACTTAAGGAGGGGCACTGGGGGTAGGAGGAAGGGGGGTCTGACTACAGGAATGTAGCTGGAGCTCTAGAGTTTTCTTTAGGCTCTTACCGTCTGACCTTTGGGGCCCAGAGGACCAGTTGCACCTTGAGGGCCAGGAGGACCACGAGGTCCAGGGAAGCCAGGAGCACCAGCAATCCCAGGAGCACCCTGCCAGCGTAAGCAGAAGGGAGGAGCTTCAGAAGAGGAGACCAGGGCAAGGAGGGACTGAGCTCACCTGAGGAAAAGGCCCAGGGGCAGCACTTACAGCAGATCCTTTGGCTCCAGGAATACCATCTGTTCCAGGGTTACCCTGAACAAGAAGATGGGGAAGGGGGGGCAGAAATCATTGTAATAAGCAGCCATCAATAATCTGCAACCCCCTCTCAGCCCTCCAGACCCCAGTCCAGGGGCTGGGAGACAAGTGCCATCCATTTTAGGGATGTTCCTGCAGCATGCTTCAAGGAGAAGCAGGGAATCAAAGGAGACATGTCTAGAGGGCAGAGGGAGGTCATTGAGCCAAACTAAAAATGACTGGGGACACACCCCTCACAGGGATGCATGTTATCCAGAAAGGCCAAGATCACAGACCTCAGATCCCACATCCTCCCAGGCCTAAAAAGAGCTTCACTTACAGAAGCACCAGCAGGCCCAGGGGACCCAGGGTTGCCAGGTTCACCTCGAGGACCTTGAGCACCTTCAGGACCCCGGGCACCTGTGGGGCCAGCTTCACCCTGGAAAGAGAGCAGGAGGATGAGGTAGGGGGGAGGGGGAGGAGGGAAGCCACACGTCTTAAAGGGCCAGCTGCGTGGATGGCTCTGCATATGATCCTACAGCTGAAGGTGAGCATGGGTTGTTCACACATGGGGCTCCCACTCCTGTCTTCTCTCTTTCCACCTTGTCTGCACACACAATTGTACAGTGGCCTGCTTCGTTTTAGCAATGAGCAGTCAGCTGGCTCCGCCAGAACTTAGCAGAAAAGTCTGAGTTGGATTTGAAACATGAAGCCATAAGATAATGGACAGATGGGCTAGAAGACATGGGCAGTTACCACTGTCTCTCCTGCCTCCTCCTATTTTCTTTTTCTTTTCTCCCTTCCTCTGTCCCTCCCTCCCCTCTTGCTTTCCTTCCCTCCTTCCTTCCTTCTTTCCTTTCTTCCCCTTTCTTCCTTCTTCTTTCTTTCTCCCTTCCTTTCTTCCTTCCTCTCTCTCTCTCTCTCTCTTTCTTTCTTTCTTGCTTGCTTGCCTGCTTGCTTTGCTTTCTTTCTTTCTCTTGCCTATACTGGGTCTTGAACTCAAGAATTGGGTGCTATCCCTTACCTTTTTTTCCCTCAAAGCTGGCACTTTACCACTTAAGCCACAGTTCTATTTCTGCTTTTTCTCTGGCGTTTAATTGGAGATAAGAGTCTTACAGACCTTCCAGCCTGAGCTGGCTTTGAATATGATCCTCAGATTTCAGCTACTTGAATCGCTAGGATTATAGGCATAAGCCACCAGCTCCTGGCTTATTTTTCCATACACTGGGGGAACAGAGGCTGGCAAAGGTGAATGCCCAGTCACCTGGCTTTTGGCTTCCTGTCCACAGCTCACAGCCTCTGCTTTGCTTCTGCCTGACCCCTGGGCCATCAGTGTTGCCCCCAGGCACTGGGCTCAAATGTATTTGAAGTACCAGAAAGTCAGAGCAGAGCAAGCTAGGACAAGTACCCTCATTCTAGTTTTCACTACTTTAACTTTGGTCTCTGGCAGCACCTTGCAAAAATTGCTTCTGCTTTCTCATTTTTATTTTTTTTTTAAATTTTTCCTGAAAGTTACAACTTGCAGACTCTGGTTCTCTCGATGGAATCCCAGGGGAAGGACGACTGACCTGGAGAGAGGGCAGAGCCTCCTCAGGTTTCTTCTCAACATTCTTGCTTCACTTTTGTAAATTATTATTTTCTAAAGGTCAGGCCCCCTCACCTTCCGCTGTCCCTCTTCACAATGGGTCTCCTTCACCCGGCTCCCAGGGGGCCTCAGACACTGTCTGGTTGCCACAGAAACCCCCAGGAGGGGAAAAGCAACCTGATGCCAGTGACACATGGAGGCTCCTTATTCATTTTCAGGGACACTGGAATCCCTCCTGGGCTAAGGGGCCTTTTCCCTGAACTGGTTGGCCTCCCACTGGCCTCTATTAATCCTTGAAGAACTCCATTCGAAAGGCTTGGAAGAGCCCAGTTCCCCAAGTGAAGCAGAAACATAGAGGGGGATAGAGGGAAACAAGGAACTATCTCCTTGTCCTGTCCCCCCCCCATACCCTTCTTCCCCAACCCATTTCCCCCCTGCTCCTCCTGGGTCTGCCTCACTTTTAGATTCTTCTTCCCTTCCCTCCCTGTCTTCTGCTGCCTCTGAGGTCTTGTCTTCGGTCACCTTCCCCACTCTGATACTATCATGGGGCCTCCAACCTCTATCACCGCCATTTTATAGCCAGCTGGGGAATCTGGGAAAGCCAGTTTTTCTTCCTTGTTTCAACAGAGTGTCAGTGAAATGAGTGGGGGACCACAAGAGATGGGAGACTGCCCCAGGAAGGGGAAGCTCCTAGCAAAGAGATCAGGAGCTTCCCAACCCTCTAAGACTTCCCAACTTGATAAGCAGGGCACACACCTTAGCACCAGGAGCGCCAGGAAAGCCAGGACCACCAGCAGGACCGACAGGACCCTGGAGAGAAGAAGAGGTACAGAGGTGGATGTTGTATCCAGGTAGAATCTCTCCAGTCCCTCCAAAGAAGACACTCCCACTCCTCACTCCTTCCTTATTTTGCTCTATGTCCATTATGGCTAGTAGTCCCTGAACATAGACTGCCTGCCCGCCCCCCACCATTGCCTGCTGAAGGAACTCCAGAAAGATGCCTCGCTTTGCCTCTCGTTGCAAGGCAAAGAAAGTGTCTAACTTTCATACACATGGTGAGAATGGATGTACTGGCACTTGAACTCAGGACCTAAGAAGTTTTGCTCTCAAGGCAGGCACTGTACCAAGTGAGCTATACCTCCGCTTCCAGCTTTTTACTGGTTAATTGGAAATGAGTCTGACAAACTCTCCTGCCCGGGCTGGTTTTGAACCATCATCCTCAGATCTCAGCCTCGTGAATTAGCTAGGATGACAGGTGTGAGCCACTGGTACCCAACAGGATCAGGTGAGAATGGACATTTCTTTGATTTCCCTTCTCAAAATGACTGTTTCAAAGGGTGTTGGCTTAAAAAAAAAAAGGCAAAGCTATAAAGCTGGGTAAGGATAAGGGCATGGAACATCCTTCCCCTTCCTCCCTTCCAGTTGGGGCAGGTGCTACAGCTGCGTCAAGGATGGTGTAAAGACTGTGTGGCTTGCTTAACAAGGCTGAACAAATGACTGCAGTGGATGCAATGTACTTACTGGAGGCCCAGCAGGGCCTGGCTGGCCATCATTGCCCCGGGCACCCTGTAAGCAAAGAGAAAAATAAGCAAACAATGTGAGAGGCATTTACAGGTCCAGATGTCCCACTGCAACCCCCACCCCCACCCCCATAGAGGATACTGTGCCAGGTATCCCTGGACTAGGAGAAGGACAAGTTATAAGCTGCAGGAGAGTCCATTGTACAAGCCTTGTGTCATCTGTGCAGGTAGGTGGTCAGTGGGCTGGCTCTCCTGGTTAACAAAGCTTAGGTAATTTCCCAACAATTCCATCATTTCTCAAACTCCAGTTGAGAGTTCAAATAGCCATAACTTTAAGGCTGCATTATCACTGAGATTTTGAACTGGATGAATGGCAAATGAAATAATAGTTCAGAAACAGTCCAACTCCAGCGTTAGTTGACTATACATGGGCCTTGTTATCCTTCGTGGTTAAGGCTGAGCTAAGATCTCCATCATTTTGCCTCTGTGCTCTGGCTCAGATAAGCTACTCTTAAGGAGAAAAAAAAAAACTTGCATTTTCCTCCCACTGCATCAGAAAGCAGTTCCCTGAGGGATCACAAGGCCCCAGCTATGGTCCAAGAGCGACACCTGAGATCTTGCTCAGGCCTGGGAGGCTTGACTGGGAGGCAGAGCAAGGAAATATTGCCAGTTCCTTTTCAATGGGGCTTGTGCTTTGAGGCTTCCTTCTGTTTGTGGTGAGCATCCCCTAGATCCTCTTCCAGGGAGCCCATAGGATCTAGGAAGCCATCAGTCTGGACACAGCTAGACTAGGAAAGGACTTTTCCCCAGCTGAGCCCTGACTACTGGTTTCTGCCCCTCTTGAGCAAAGGAGAAGGATGCCTTATAGGAGTTCAGTCTATCACCTGGCTGAGGTCCATTTGTCCTGACTGAGATTCTCCAGATTAGCAATCAGCAGGAAAGCAAGACAAGACTTAACTGAAGAAATGACAGAGGAACCACACTCCAGTATTCCTTGCAGCCTTTCTATGCTGGCCTGGCTGCTTCCAGAAACTGTGTTCCTGGGAAGGCCCTGGGAGCATCTTCTCCCCAGGGAATGGCCTGCAGAGATCCAGGGCTGGGCATGTGCAGAAGAGAGCTGCCTTGCCCCAGGCCAGCACCAGGCTAATCCACAAAAATGCAATGTTTCTTGGCAGACCCAATGCACTCTCATCCTCCTCTCATATAAAGTAACCCTGAAGCAAGGCACTTGGGCCACACTGGCTGACAAATGAGAGACAAAGTCTGCTTGTTATTTCACTAATCTGCTACATGGGGAAATCTCTGCCAAAGAGATGCATGGTCTAAAAGCAGTACCACGGAATGAAATTGATTTAGCTTGGCCAGCCCTGAAAGGATGTAAGGCAGGAAGGGCTCCGAGCTTTGGTGGCTGGGTTTAGAAGCTAGACAAAGCATAATCTTGCTAAAATAGGCCTTTTATCACATCACTTACCTGGCCAAGCACCTACAAGACCTCTCTATTGCCAAAGGATCCAAGCTAACCACCTCCATGGGGCACCTGGGTCCTCTACTGCCTGCCAGTAATTTTCCTTATTAATTAGAAGTCAGCAGAGTCAGAGGCTGCAAAGTACCATTTGTGTGAAGCTAGGTAACTTTTTGTGCTGTTATTTCCTCTTCTGTAAACTGGAAAGGAGACTAGAACTAGCCTAATATATGGGCATCTGGTGACATCTGACTTACCGCAGCACCAGCAGGGCCAGTCCGTCCTCTCTCACCAGGCAAGCCTCGGGGACCCTGGAATACACACCAGCACAGCCCAAAGTGTGAGTTGCTTTAACAGTGCTCTCTGTGATGACTTCTACCTAAAGTCCTTCCTGGATGCAGAAGGTAAGACTGCCACACCCAGGAAGCAAAGACAAGCAACTCCTTATGGTGCTTCCTTCCTGGCCCAGCCACCACACTCAATGACAAAGCATACAGGTTTCTTCCAGGCAGAACCCGTGTGTGCTCCCTTGCTACCTCTGGGGAACCTTGTTGCAGGCACAGCTTGTGTCTTACGATGGAAGAGCTCTCCCAAATGTTGAGAACTTTTAAAAAACGAAAGCATGCTTAAGTGTGTGACTATTTCCTAATCCAAGGAAAAGCTGGTAAAAATCTTAAGTCACCCATCTCCTCCTACATACTGTTTTTGCTCATCATCAGATCAAATTGATTAAATTGAATATGTGCTCTGCAGGAAGGGAGCTTTAACGTTAGGAGTGCATCTTTCTTCCAGGTGTCAGGAACATAACATGTCTGCTGACCTTTCTGTATGCAGGTAGCATTCATACTCACCATTGGGCCTGGAGAACCATTCTCGCCAGGAGAGCCACTTTCACCCTGGGGGTGGGGGGAGGCAAAGGGAGACAGAGGAAAGAGGCACAGGTCAATGTTCTGGACTCTAGTCTCTAGACATCTCTCAAAGAAGCCACTGGAAATTGGGGGTCATTCAGCTAGTACTGACACAGTCCAACTTTACTTCTGGGAGGGGTAATTCTGCAAACGCTGGGACCTGCTGTCTGGGTGTTTGCAAACAAGGATGTCCCAGTATCCTACCCCTATCAATCCTGCAGCACCCCATGATCCCCATCCTCAATCACCATGTGCGTGGCAATCCCTTACCTTCACACCTGGAGCACCAGCTTCTCCCTTAGCTCCATCTAGGCCTGGGTAGCCCTAAGGAACAAGAGAAAGTATTCAATCACACGTTGAGGGACCCAAACTGAAAGGAATCTACATGCGCTTACATGCTTCCTCGCCCCCAGACAGCCCCTGCCCTCCAAAGCTCTCACCCATCATACTTACTCTGTGACCTTTGACACCAGGAAGACCTGGGGTTCCTGGGAAGCCTCGAGCACCCTGCAATCCAAAGGGGAGACACTCAGGACTAGAATAGGATGGGGTGACTGTTGCATGGAAACCCTGCAGAGCCAGCCCACTGGAGCTACCAGCAAGGGGAATGCATCCTGGTTCCCGGATCCTCATCAAGCCAAACCCAGGTCCCCACCAGCTAGAGCTCCCCTATCACATGCTTTCACAAAGATGATCCTAAGCATAAATGCATAAGACTCTTAGGCATCATCAGTACGTGTGTGTCTCTGTGTGTGTATGTGTGTGTGTGTGTGTGTGTGTGTGTGTGTGTGTGTGTGTATCAGGGAGAGAGAGAGAGAGAGAATGCTTGGGCTTGAACTCAGGGCCTGGGGGCTATCACTTAGCTCTTTTGCTCAAGACTAACCCCTTATACTTGAGCAGCAGCTCCACTTTTGGCTATTTGTTGGCTAACTGGAGATAGGAGTCTCATGAACTATCCTGTTCAAGCTGGCTTTGAACCATGACCTTCAGATCCTGGCCTCCTGAGTAGCTAGGATTACAGACATGAGCCACCAGCTCCTGGCAGTACTTGGTTTTAAACTGACCTAATTGAACAGGATGAGCTGAGTCTGGGTAAGATGTTTGTGGCTAGGAAAAGTAGAGCTTTACCTGAGGGCCAGGAAGGCCTCTTTCACCAGATTTTCCAGGTTTTCCAGCTTCACCCTGGAAAGAGAGAGAGATACTTAATTTTCCTCGAAAGATAAATTAACATAGTTGGCCTGCCTGCTTTAGAACTGATGTCTCCCCTGGTCCTCCATGTCTTTCCCTACCTGCCTACCCATCCTGGGCATCTCCTATAGATGAATGCCTTCTGAATGAATGAACCTCCCTGAATGCTTTCTCATGGGTCACAGTTTATTCATTTGCAAGCTCCTTGGTCCTCACAGACTCTGACAGGCTTTGCTGTCCTTTCCTGGGCTCTGAAGACTGGGTTAGCATGTCCTTGACCTTGAGAGACTTGAATGTCCAATGCAATTCATGCCAACTGCTTGAGAGAGCCAGCTTCTATCTCTCCACTTCGTTTGCATCCTCCATAGACATCCTGACTCAGACTGAGCTTTCTCTAACTCATTTGCAATTGAGATCATGTTGGAGGCGTTTGTGAAATGATTTTTTTCTTTGTTTTTCCTTCACTATATCTTTCTGCCTTTGTGGGGGGTTCCCCCCCTCCTCTCTCTCTTCTCTCATTTCTCCATTTCCCTTCCTGGAGCCAATGATGTTTTCCTTATTCTTCTCATTGGGCCCAAAATAGTCCCCAGGGAACTGGCGAGATTAGTCAGAAGTGGGCATATTGTGGGCCTCCATCCTGGGGCCTCCCCATGACCCACTAACCTCCACCTCACCAAACTCCCTCTCCAGGTCCTTTCCAATGAAGTAGCTTCTCCTTGACTACTCAGGCATACTTACGTCGTCACCAGGTTTTCCAGGGGGGCCAGGAGGACCACGGGGACCCATAGGACCCTACAAATAAAGGAAGAGAACTTAAGAGATCGATGGAAGAGATACCTAACAGTAGACAAAACTCAGGGGCAATCATTTTGGAAGCCAATGTTATGATAAGAAGAAAGATGGAAGGATCAGATCAAAGGCATGACTCAGATCATAGTGGAAGATGGCACACGGCGCAGGCTGAGGCAGCTCTCAGAGAGAGTTCTTTGGTAGTCCTGTCACTTTGGGCTCTCTGCCAGAGTTCTTCCATAGCTAAAGAGTGACATCTGAATATCCTTTGAGTTACCTGACTGTGGGAAAGAACTGGCAGAGCCTAAGAGGGGAAAGTAGCTGAAAGCGGGGTGGGGGTGGAGGGGGGACTGTCATCAGAGCCCTCCCCCCCCAAAAAAAAGAGAAGTAGATCTACAGGTACTTACAGAGACACCAGGTTCGCCAGGTTCACCGGGATTCCCTTGAAATCCTTGAGGGCCCTAAAAAAAGTTAAGTGAGGATATCAGGTTGAGCCTATAAACTGTGCTAAGATGTAGAGGATTTGACGTGTCTGTAACACTGAGAAGAATAAAAGTCCCAGTACTTACAGGAGCACCAGCAGGACCTGGGGGTCCGCGAGGTCCCATAGGGCCCTGCATTGGAACAGAAGATGAGAATTTTACTGGACATGCTTTATCAGCAGCCTCCTGGGTACCACTGTCTTCCAACCCCAAGCCCAGACAAAGGACAAAGGAAATACTTTGTGGGCAGGGGGCCCACTATGGCCGCTCCCTCTCATTTCCACTCCTCACACAACCATCTATTTTGATTTATAGGCGCCATTTAGACAGCGAGGCTGGCCTTGCTTTCTTCTGGACTACAGCCATGTTTACTAAAGCCTGAGTTTCATTTAGCTTGTGCCAAGTCGGAGCTGCAGGGCTGAGATTTCCTGCTGGAAGCCTGGTGGATGCTGGGGAACAGTAGCTGCTGTCTACATTCTTCAGTTCTCATTCCAAGAGTAACAGTGATCAGCCTTCTAGCACATCAGCTCTATGCATCTCTCCATCCTCATTCTTTAAGTCACTCCAGAGCATCATTAAAACTGGCATCCATCACCATTAAAACCCAAATGCTTTGGGTTAACTAAATGGAAAGGTTACATAACTGAAGGCAAATTGCTGCTCTAAGCAATTATCTGGTAAACAGAGGTTGTCAGATTTTTCTGGCTCTGCTAAGGGTCACTTTCTGCCATGTTGGCTGCAAAGCACTGGGGTCTTTTCTTACCATTGGACCTTGCATTACTCCCATCTGGGCGCCACCAGCCTTCTCATCAAATGCTCCAGCCATCTGGGCAGCAAAGTTCTGCAAATTGACCCAACAACATGAGGAAACAGAAGTCATCAGTCCCCTCTCCTTGCTAGGAATCTAGAGCTGGAGAGAAAGAACTCTCCTCTATGGTCTCTTACTATTAGAGACTAAGCAGGCATTGACCAAAATTGCCAAAGAGGCCTAAGAGTCATTTCCCTGGAAGATGAAGAGTTATTTGGAGAAGCATACTTTTTTGTATGTTTGCTGGTACTGGAACCCAAAGTCAGGGCCTTGAGTATTGTACCTTAGCTTTTTCTGTTAAGACTAGCTAGCACTCTACTACTAAGCCGTAGCATTGCTTCTTTTTTTTTTTTTTAATTTGAGGTGTCTCTTGGACTTTCCTGCCTGGGCTGGCTTTGAACTTCAGTTCTCATATCTCAGCCTCTTAAGTAGCTAGGATTACAGGCATGATCTACTAGTGCTTGGCTTCTACCTAATTATTTTTGTAATCTAAAATATTACATATTACCTAATATGTGGAGAACCATAACTAACACCTCACTATTAAAGGTGTTCTTTGTTCTCTAAGACTTTACTCTTCAACAAAGGACTAATGTCAACAGTCTTGAAATAATTTAATAAGAGATGTAGTAGGCGGCTGTAAGCCTATTTAAGTTTAAGAATTTAAAACATAGCAAACACCAAATGGCCAACCTGCAAGAACTGAGCAAGCATATAATTTATTGACTGGTTTGATTCCAAACACGACTAGCCACACACCTTCACTCAGTGGGGCTCTTTCATAAGAATGAATAGTTGCTTGGAATATACTTGGCAAGGACCAAGAATAAATGTCTCCAGAGGACAGTGGTCACTCTTCTTTCAGAGAAACACAAGTGACCAGTCATCCCCTCCCCAAGTCCCTACACCCATCTGCAAGAGTCAACCACAGGGTACAGATGCCAAGAAACCAGGTAACTGAAAACTTTCTTTACAGAACCCAGTGAGTTTTTTTTTTTTAATCATCCCTTAACACAACAGTCTTAATATGTGATTCTACCCAATTTTAGGCCTGGGGGCGAAGTCCACAGACCGGCTATGTACACACTGGTGACAGCCTGGGGAGTCAGCCAGGTAAATGCAAGTAGCAATTTAGAAGCCACATTTTTGGAAGAACAACCAGAAGAAAGGGGGAAGTAAGGACACTTACCCCACCAAGGCCATGGGGACCAGGAGGGCCTGGAGGGCCAGGGGGACCAGGATTTCCAGGGGTTCCAGGCTCTCCATCTCTGCCACGAGGTCCAGGTGGACCCTTAGTGGAAAGAGAAAAAGGAATCGTCAGAGTGCAGCAGTGTGCCTTGTTTCTGTGCCTGGGCAATTCTTACGAAGTAGCCAGGCATATTGTTGGGCCGTGTGGTACCTGGGAAGTTCACTGAGGTCAAGCAACATTGATCTCTACTCACTTTTTCTCCTTTGTCACCACGATCACCTCTGGGTCCTTGTTCACCTACAGGTCCCTGAAGGTGAATGACAATGGTGAGATGACAGTATGTCCAGGAGTCTATAGAGCAGTAACTTGGATACAGTAAAGGAGGACAGAGAAAGGGATTCCTCTCTTTCTTACCTGAGGTCCGGGAGGTCCTTTAGGTCCTATGATCTGTGAAGGAGATTCAGGGGTTTGCTATTAGAGGGTATGCCCAGGAAATGCAGATACATATTGGGAGAGAACAATTTGTACTTACATCCTTGATGTCTCCAGGTTCTCCTTTCTGTCCCTGAAATATGACACATTCACAGGATTAGACTGAAGAAACCCATTCATTCCCAAGCACAAAACCCTGTCCAGCAGCCCCAGTGTGGAAGTGCCCACTGACAAAGACCTCCTCTGGTCTCTTTAAGAAACAGCCACCAGCCGCAGCCACATCACACTACTTCTGAAGAAGAAAATAGAAAGGCAAGATAAAAGGTCCCTTACCTTTGGTCCTGGTTGCCCTGTAAGGGGGTAAAATATAGAAAAGATTAGATGCCGAAGATGGATAAAAGATACAGCCAAGGAAGGAATAAAACATTTACTATTATTCCACTGACCCCCCCTCTGCTGAGGGTAGGAAGGTGATAGCTGTTCTGAAGTTATTGAGGACCCAGTAAGGAATGGATGGAGGTGGCCCCAGATTTTGTTATTCAAAGGGAAGGCAGAAGGCGTAAGAATAGATGGAGGGCCAGACAAGGGAAAATAAAGACCTCAAGAAGGAAACCAGCATTGTACATGCCTCTCCCAATATAGAAGATATAGTGTGTGCCCCCCCCCCGCCCAGAAGTCAGCAGCTCTCCCTCTACCCAAAGCCCTCCCCGAGGAAGAATTAGGAGCTTAGGAAGTCTTACATTAGGGCAGCATCTCCTTGAAGCAAGCACAAGAAACAGCAGTACATAGGAGTTACCGTAAGCATCACAGACAGCAAGCCCCTCCCCCACCCAGCAGCAAACTCCTACAAGCCAGGCGGTCCACACTTCCCTGGCATGGGCCCCTCAGAAATGAACTGAGAGCCTGCACAAAGGTGCCAGTGTTCCAGAAGTGTTTAGGAAAGGCAACTTCTCACTTCTCTTTTCAACTATCTTCTCAAAGTTAAACAGAAAGGGAACAGGGAGGGCTACCATCTCTGCAGAGAGTCAGGACCTCTGTTTGAGAGCTAAGGAGGGGCTCACCTGTACACATAACCAGCACTGGTTCTGGTGGGGAGTTAACTACCCAGCAAAGCTCAGGCAAGTGGGGCTCTCACCCAGCCTTCACTACTTGAACTCCTAGAGTCTGTCTACTTCAGCAAGCTTGCTTCCCTCCCTCCCTCCCTCCCTTCTTTCCTACCTTCCTTTTGTGGCATATGTTACATTGTATATAGTAATTGTATATAGGGCTTTCTTCATGCCACTTTCAATCATACATATAATATACTTTGACAACTTGCTTCTTAATTGGTAGACAATTCCCAGAAAGGCAAAAACCGTGAGAAAATGCCACTGGTGTCCCATCCCTCCAGGAGTAAACCTGACCCCCTCTGATTCCTGTCTCACTAACAGCACTTTCTACACACTGAGGACCATATGTACACCTGAAGGTTTTCCATGAAGAAGACCAGGTATACCTGACAGCGGAGAAATTAACTCATGATTTGGCCAAAACAGAGCATTTGATTTCCAGTGTGGCTTTAGTAATTTTCAGAGATGACCTCAGAGTAAACACTCCTGTAGACTTGAACCTATCTTTCCTGTGTGCTGGAAGCATCTTTTGGAGGTATGAGCTAGGGAATGCCTCTTACAATGTCCCAGTCTCAGTGAGTTTTAACCTGCACATGAGAAGTGGCCTTTCCTTCCTGCCCTGGCTGCTGGAATCCCATGGATAACCAGCCCCTCTGCTTTGCCGAGGTGACCATCATCCATGTGAGGGTATTTGCTGCAACTGCGAGTAATTTATTTATGTTGAACAAGAAATAAATAAATTACGACCACTGGCAGTGGCGAGGTCAGCTGGGCAGATGGGGCAGCACTCTCCGAAGGGGATTTCAGGGTGGAGGCAGTCTTTCGCGTCTTCACAGATTATGTCGTCGCAGAGGACAGTCCCATTGTCACAGACACAGATCCGGCAGGTCTCAGGCTTCCATACATCTTTATCATTATACCTCTGCCTGCCCTGCAAACAGCTGCCAGCCTCCTCTGCACCCAGTGGAGCAGGAGCAGCAGAGAGTGAGGGACAGGCCAGGCAGGAGCCAGAGAGAAAGAAAAAGAGGTTGAAGTCAACTTGACATAATTCAAATGCTGATGGATGGGGACTTGGGTCACACAGGAAAGATGGAACATAGAAGTTATTTTTTCTGAAACATCATTCATTCTTCTTTGTATTCCACTATATTTATTAGGTGCCTGACAGTCTATTCACCAGTGAAAATTCTAAACCACTCCACTATGCCTAAAGTGAAGCAGAGTTACAGGACTTCATCCTCTGCATCCATCTAGTAGGGGAAAGAGCTATTGTGAGAGACAGCAAGTTGGAAGGTGAGTGAGAGGAGATAAGACTCTAATGAGGAATGGAAAGAAAAGAAGACCTGAGCTTGGGATGTAGTTCAGTGATAAATTAGTTACTTAGTCTGTGCCAGGCCCTGAAAGAAAGAGAGAGAGAGAGAGAGAGAGAGAGAGAGAGAGAGAGAGAAGGAAGGAAGGAAAGAAAGGAGGGAGGGAGAGAAGGAAGAAAAAAGAGGGAAGGGAAGAGAAGAAGGGAGGGAGGGGGGATGGGGAAATACAGTAGCCCAAGAGCAGAGAGGTCATTCTACTTTCTTCTAGGAATTATGAGATTTGCTAAGTACAACTATCAGCTAACATTCAGAGAAAATGCTGAAAATTCTACCCACAACCATTAGAATCCATTCACCAGGTTTCAGAAAATGAAGATAGAATGAGGAGGGGCAGTGAACTGAGAAGCAACTAGAATTAGGATCTTTTCTCATTCTGTATAATATATCAGGACTAGGACCAACCAGGGAAAGGGCAGACCCATTCAAACAACACACTTGGTGGAGGGGAGGGTGGATAAATGACTCCAGAGCCAAGCTGGGGCAAAAGATTCTAAGTGCTGGGCTCCAGTTGTATCCTTCCCTGTAGAGGCCCAGCCTCCATCTGTGGACAGCACCCTAATTTGGAAGACAGGAGGCTTTAATGCCTGATCAGAACTCAGATTGACCAGTCCAGGCCTGGCCTCCAAGAATGCAGACTTAGGGAAAGCAGGGACTGGTCCCTCTCCACAGCGCCATGCTGTCTGGAATTCCTGCTACGGATGAAACCTGTGCTGACAAGGGCGCTTCTCAGAGCGCCAAGGGCTGAAGAGTCCGGACCACGTGCTAGGGAGCGCCCAGTGCTGTTTTTCTCATCAAAATCCCCAAAGCAACGGCAACAGTAGGAGATGAATAATAGCAGAACAGCAGACTCGGTGGGCGTGGACAGAAAACGGGCCTGCCCCATTGCTCTTTATGGAGAGCGAAAAATCTAAAGATAAACCTTTTGGTGTTTTTCCTTTCCCTTTTTCCTTTTTCACTAGAAGGAATCCATTTAGTCCTGAATCACGGGGAAGATGTGTGTGGTGTGGTGGGATGGGGGGGGGTCCCAGGGAAAATATCAAAGCTACTGAAACACACCCACTGCCAAAATTGCTGGAGGTGTGGAATGCAGGCCTGAGGAAACGGGGTGTGTGTGTGTGTGTGGAGAGGGGAGGGGGGCGTGAGTTCACGGTGTCCAGGGTGGACTTGGGAAGAGCCTATCCTCACCCAAAAGAGCCCAGGGAAGAAGCAGGGAGTTGTCGAGGTGGTGGGGGAAGGGGGGGGGCTGCACGGCGAAAGTGGATCGGATTTCTCTCGACAGGCCTGAGGATGCGCGGGGCGCAGGGGCGGGGCCCCGCCTTGCTGCGTGTGAGCTCTGCTGGCGGATTTTTAGCTGTGGTTCTGGATACGGTTCATCCGCAGACAGAGGAAGAGTAAAAAAAAAAAAATTAAAAAGAAAATAATAAAATAAGTGCGATTAAGCCGGGCACAGGCTCACGCCTCGGTAATCCTAGTTACTTAGGAGGCTGACATCTAAGGATCGTAGTTCCCAGCCAGCTTGGGCAGGAAAACTCCGTTGATACTCTGATCTCCAATTAATCATCAGAATGCCAGAAATGGAGCTGTAGCTGAAGTGGTAGGGCGCTTAGCCTTGAGTTCAAGCCTCAGGACCGGCACACACACACACACACACACACACACACACACACACACGGATTAAATGACTGCCCCCAGAGAGGAGCCTGCACCGTAAGTAGATCCCCACGGTGCGGACCGGGGAGGCCAGCCCCCCACCGGCCTGGCGCAGGAGAAGGGCTGCAGATAGCATCCTGGCGCGCCCGATCCGGTTTCCCCATTACCGCCGTGCTGTATAAGCGACTCTTTGTGGCAATGCCAATTAAAAAGCTACCTCTTTCGGGGAACTGTTTTTGCTTCGTCGCCGCTTCGCACGGGGCTGGAGCCCGGGAGGTAGCGGCTGGCGGGCATGGGGTGGGGGTGGGGGCGCATTGTGGGAGAGGGTGTCAGCGAGTCCGGGGGAACCCACCGGACCTCGCCTCTCATGAATGGGGCTTTTCTAGAGCGCATACAGAGCTCGATTCACAGGTCTCCGCTAGGAGCCCGTTTAAATAAATACGGGCAGGATTTCAACCCCATCTGGAAGCCATCGCTGCCAATCTCCCAACGCAAACAAAGGAGGATTGAGGTTCCCCCACACACACCCTCATCAGCCAGGGGCACTTTCGGAGGCGAGGGCTGCGAAATGCAGATGTGGGTCAAAGATGTGGGCCAAGAGTTTCTCAAACTCGTGGAAAGATGGGGAGGAGAGGAGTGGCGGACTCCAGGTTTCTGACATTCCTGAGGTCCACGCAGCCTGAGCCCCCCCCCCACCTCTTTCGCGTCACATCTTTGAGTCCACCGACCAGAGGCGGGGATTTTGGGGGGTGGTTACGTCTATGGAATCGGATGAACCAGGGCGCAAAGTCGAAGAGGAGGAGGAGGAGGAGGAGAGCGAGTGAAAGGTCTGGGGCCCCAAAAGCTGTGGAATTCACCCCTAGCCAAGAAGGATGCAGTAGTGAGAGCTCCCTGCCACTTGAGCAAGCGCTCTAATAGCAGCTGGAGAATTGGAGTATATTATTTTGGTCCTCCAGCTAATTCCACTACCCACTCAAAGAGACAGCTTTGGGGTGGGGGAGGTGTACTTGAAAAATTTCCCTCCAAAATATAGTCAGTTCGAACCCACAGGCCAGAGAACACAACTCCCTTAGTGCGCTTCCTTGGATGGCGCAGCCGGTCTCCGGCCCCCGCCGGGTAGCCGGTGCGCTCGGAGCTGCAGCCCTGCCCCCATCGGGGTCAGCAGGGTAATGAACAGAAAGCCCGCCTGGGCCTTCCGCCTTCCAGACCAGCTCTAGAGACAGCCTGGTGGCAGGCCCACACTTTCTAAGGCAGAAGGACCTCGAGTCCCCATTCCCACCCCCACCCCCCAAGTTTCACCTGCGATTGATTTACAATCTGTACCGTACAAAGACGGGGCTGGAATCTTAGCCTTCGGAAACGTGCCCAAACACGTGGAAAAAAATGCTCCCTACCTAATACACTTTCCAGGCTTCATTTTGTCCTGAATATAATCCCAGACGGGTGCACTTTACCAAAAGAGGAGGTGAAAAGGTGCGGTCTGAAAAGCCCTTGGACCAGACTGTGAAACTGCTGTTCTATAGTCTAGATTCCCATGAAAAAGTTACAGCAAATCGACTCTTCTGTTCCCTTTTCCTGCTAGAGAGAGAGAATCTGGTGGCTCGGTGAAATCTTGAAACTTAGAGAAGTAACTCATTGTAGTACCATGGGAAGTGAGGAGAGGTGGGGGAAGACACTTCAGGGAAGGAGTGCTATTTGGCCGACGCATTCAGGGCAGGTCTAGTTGGGACGTTTTCACCTTTCCGATGGTCTCTGCTCTAATGGGAAATTTCTACAGCCTCCAGTAGAAGAGAGAGTGCACCTTACTCCAGGGCCAGACAGGAGGGGGAGGGAACTCAAGAAGGCGCTGAAGTCCTGCAGCGCCTCTTGGGAGCTTTTCTTTGTGGCCTCAGATTTCAGCCCACCAGTGTCAAGAGTTAAGACAAAAGGCCTAACTCCCTCCCCCACTTTGATCCCTGCAGCCTCTGACCCCCACCCCCATCCCCGGGATGAGGCTGCAAGACATCCCTGTGGCATTTACTCTCCGAGACATCTCCGAGGGCCATGACCTGTTTTGCTGAGCTCTGAATACTTGGGCAAGCCGAATTGTGCGTTTGTGCGCCTAATTATCAAAGCTGGTCGGGGCGGGGGGGTGGGGAACAATGCGTTTATGTCGGTGCGCAAACCTCTCGGATCCGACACTTTGCAAGTTCAATATTCCTGCTCAGCACCCCAGATGATTCCAGAAGCAACCTGCAGGAAGGACGCTGGGACCCAAGCCCCGCATTCGCAGAACTTGCCTGGGTAAAGCAGACCCTGCAGCTAAGTCTCTGCGCTGCGACTCTGGGAGCCAGGCTACGGGAGCCGACCAAGCTGGGGAGGAGGAGGCAGAAGAGGAGGAAGGATGCGCCGGAGGGGAGCAGGCGAGGGGAGTGGGCGACTTACGGATATCCTGGCCCTGACACCGAAGGACAGCGGCGACCAGCAGCGTCAGCAGCACCAGCGATCGGGGAGCCCCGAGGCGGATCATGGTTCACCGCGGGGCCTGGCAGAGCCGTGGCCCGGGCGAAGCGCAGCGAGGGCGGCAAGAGCACGGCGCGGGTCCGGGTCTCTACCGCGCCCTCATGCAGGAGGCCCTCGGAGCAGGAGGAGGAAGCGGGAGACCCGGCAGCCCAGCAGCGCTCTGCGTCCTCTGAGCTAGCCGCTCCCGTTATATGCGCCCTGCTCATCCCAGGCCGGCCAACTCGCCCAAACCGCGGGCCGCCCCCAAGCCCCCCGCGGGGCCGTAACCTGAGACCCCGCCCCCGGAGCCCGCCCGGCCCGGGCCACTGCCCGCACCTGCCGGGACCAGACGCGCCCCCCCACCCCGCCCCACCGACAGCCATGCTGCCCGTCCCCCGCCCTTAGTGTGCCCAGTGGCCTGATCGGGCGGGGCGCAAAAACGGCCCCAGGTTCTCTCCACTCCCCCCCACACACACAATCTGGGACGGAGGCACTGCCCCCCCCCACGCCAACCACAGGCGGGAAGGGGGGGGTCCTCCGGCCCCTCCCCTCTGAGTGCTGCAGGAGTCGGAGGGGAGGGGGGTGTTTGCAGAGACTCAGGCCTCCAGTCCCCAAACCCAGGACGGAAAAGGGGGGGGCAGAGGAGGGGGGCAGAAGGGAAGCAATGGAAAGGAGTAGCCAGGGGAGAGGAGGACCCCATTGGAGGCTTGGAGTTGGGGACATGGAAGTTAGCTGGGCCAGCTTTAGGGAAGGTGGGGTGCCTGTACCTATCTTCTAGCCCCCTTCATCAAGTATCTAGCCCGCGGACTCCCTCCTGGAGGTTCCGAGCAACAGTCCCCAGCCCCTCAGCCTCTAGCTAGGCGCTGAAAGGGCCCCCACTCGGGGCCTGGGACCACCTCCAGAAAGAGCTGGTGCTCTTCTGCACAGAGAGAGACCTGTGTAAAGGTGGGGAGAGGGGCAGGCCCTGGGAAGGGATGGAGGGAACCGCAGAGGACTGAGAGAGCCCAGACACAACCATGCAAGCTGCCCAGGGATGGGGGGGCACTACTGTCTAGTTCCAGTCTCAGACGCAGTGTCTGCCCTTACTGGCTGAGGTCCAGGAGTTGGGAGGGCGGTGTGTGTAGGGGGGGGGAGGAATAGGTGCTGCTGGACCTGGGTAGAGCAACTAGCCAAGGATGATTGGTTTCTGGGAGGCCCTGGCTAGGGAGCTAGGAGGCTACTCCAGCTGGAACAAGTTCTGTGAGCCCAGGGTGAAGCGCCAGAGTTTCCTAGCTGGTCCCCGGGCCCTCTGCTTCCTTCCCCCGCCCCACCTCACCTCATCTTCTCCCTGTTACACCTTATCCCAAACTGCCTTCTCTCTGGGGGCTCACACTAGCTCTTCCCTGGCTTTTTTGCTACCAATGAAGAAGAAGAAAAAATATTGAAATAGGCTTTTCTCAGAAACAAGATGACCCCCCCCCAAAGACTGTCAGGCAATACGGAACTCTGAATCTACAGCTTCATTTAAGCAGAATCTTCCATCCAGGATTTCTGTGGGATTTTTTTCCCAGTCCAGGGTGCTTAGTGGAAGCTCACTACATCTCCTTGGCTCAGGTTTCCAGGAGGGGCTCTGGGCTCTCTTCTCCATCCCATCTCATGTGATAAAGCTTGTCACGGTAGAAACAGGAGTTTCAAGTGCACAACCCTTCATTTCTGTGCACATGTGCTGTTGGGCAGGGAAAGACTTGTTGTTTAAGGAGTTCCTGTTGTGATCTGTGCAGTGTGTGTGGAAATGCCCCTTCTTTGTTTCTTTTCCCGTTTTCCCCATCAGGGGTTTGCATTCAGCTCTGGGCCTTCACCAGCTGGGCTGAAGCCTGGCATGCCCCTTTTGGGGGCCATGGGTCCTGTCTGCTCTACCTGGAAAATAGACTAGCTAAATCACCCAAGGCATCTCTGAGAAGCCTTGCTCAATATCTCTAGAATGCAATGTCTGTCTACCTTTCTGGATCCTTCTGCCATCCATAACCTACTTACACAGTTATACTCTAAATCTATGTATATATTTCTCTGTGTGAGAGAGAGAGAAAGAGAGAGATTTTTTTCTCTCCTTAAGTACAATTTTAACACAAAGTAGGGTTTTGTTTTGTTTTCCCCTGGGCTTGAACTCAGGGCCTGGGCACTGTTCCTGAGCTTCTTTTGCTCAAGGCTAGCACTCTAACTACTTGAGCCACAGCACCACTTCTAGCTTTTTCTGTGTATGTGGTACTGAGGAATCGAACCCAGGGCTTCATGCATGCTAGGCAAGCACTCTACTATTGAACCACATTCCCAGCCCCATAAAGGAGGTTTTAAGTAAGTCCTTGAAGACCAATATATTTACATGCAAGTTAAATTCAGATAAATTTATTTTAGATGATATAAACAATGCTTAGGCACATATAAAGCTAGTCATTCAAAAAATGAATCTCAAATATAAGGGATCATGAAACTTCAACAGAAAAACAAGTCTTGTGGAGAAACTGCTAAATCACATGTATTAAAAAATGATGCCTATCTGAAAATGACCTAGCTCAGTAAGCAACAAAGTAGACCCCGCTGAGCTGTTGATTTTATCCTTTAACTTTGTGAATCTACATATAAGAGCCCTGGATTCTTTCCAATAATCGTTTCCCATCTCTGGAAAAATAAAAATTAAATTGCCAAAGCCAAAATAAACTATGGAAATTATCTATTTAAATTCTACAGTCAACTAAGCACCATTATTAATATTTTCCCCTCCATGAATCCAAACAACAACAATTTAAAAATCTCATTTGCAATTCAAACTAGAATTGAAACTATCTGAGGCAAACATATTTCTCACCATTTTGGAGAAGACTTTTCCAGCCATCTTTCTATTCAGAACATAACCAAGAAACTGAAAAGAGAATGGAGTAATAAACCTTTGAATACCAGCACATATATTATACACTAAAGTTCATGCATTTAATGTATCATAGAACTTTTCTAGATCTATGACGTCCTAATTAGTTATTGTATTAATGGATAGTGTCAGACACTGGATAGGAGTCAGACACCTGTGGCTTGTGCCTGTAATCTTAGCTACTCAGGAGGCAGAGATCTGAGGATTACAGTCAAGCCAGCCTGGGCAAGGAAGAGCATGACACTCTTATCTCCAATTAACCACAAGAATACTAGAAGCAAAGTTGTTGCTCAAAGTTGTAGAGTGTTAGCCTTGGGCAAAAACAAAACAAAACAAAAAAACTTAGAGATGATGCTCAGACCCTGAGTTCAAGCCCCACAACCACCCCAAAAAACAAAAACAAAAACCAGCTAAGCAAGAATGCAAGGTTCTGAGTTCAAGCCCTAATACTGGTCTAGGGAGGGGAGAGGGAGGGAGAGAGAGAGAATACTTATGTGCTTGTTAGACAACAGTACAAGAAACATGACAGACAGAAGGACTGGAGCTCAGAGGTAGAGCTCTTGCCTAGCATACAAGGGACCCTGGATTCCATCTCCAGCCCTGGAAAAAGAAAATATTGCTAATAAAAATAGCGAGAAGGGTCCGTGAGAGAAGAGGCAGAGGAGCAATATGACATTGCCACAATGAATACTAAACACGGTTGCCTAGAGTAACAGAGTTCAGGGTCGGCAGCCCTTTTCTCATTGGTTCCAGAGAAGACGCTGGTTTACAGATCCTGTGCAGTTCTCTTGCAGCCTGTTAAGGTGAACTTTAATGGCCAGGAAAATGTTAATTTATATTTAATAGGATCTTTTTTGGGGAGACAGGGAAATACATATTCAAGGTTATAGAAGTCTCCACTAAACATAATGAAAATAAGCATTCATTCAAAGACTGTGGAAAACTTTCTATCATATCAGATAGATGAGGAGATGCCACAACCTTTAGAGCTACTGAATTGGAAACAAAGAGTGGCTTTCTTTCCCACTTGGTAGAAAAAGGGGGTGGAGTAGGGGCGCCAGGGACTTATGCTTGAAAGCTATTCAGGAGGCTGAGAGGGGGAGGATGGAGATTTGAAGTCAGCCAGTACAGAAAAATTTGACTTAAAAACAAAAAACAAAAACAGCAACAGCCAGGTGCCACTGGCTCATGCCTGTAACTAGATACTCAGGAGGCTGAGAGCTGAAGATTATGGTTCCAAGCCAGCCTGGGTAGGAAAATTTGTAAGAGTCTTATCTCAAATGAACTTCAAAAAAAAAAAGTTGAGAACTTTACAACTTTGGTGAGGGGAGGAGGGGGGAGGATTGGGTGGGGGGAGGGGGGAGGATGGGAAGGGATGGGAAGGGGAAACAAAGGAGGAGGCTACAATGCTTGATAAGAAATGTACTCATTATCTTGCCCATGTAATTGTAACCCCTCTGTACAGTATTTTCACACACAAAAAAGGGGTTGAAAATGTAGCTGTGGCTCAAAAAGCTCAGGGATAGCACCCAGGCCCTGAGTTCAAGCCCTAGGACAAACACATACACACATACACACACACAACCCAGCAGTATACAAGGCTGAAGGTGTGACTTAAGTGGAAGAGCACCAGCACTAGCCTAACAAGCAGGAGATCAAGCTTTGGTGCCAGAATGGGGGAGAAGGAGGAGGTGGAAGAGGTGGGGGAGGAGGAAGAGAAGGAGGAGGAAGAGGAGAAAGAAGATGTCTTCAGAAATTAGACAATCAATATATTTAACACCCCCCCATCAAACCAACTCATTAAAAAGGATGTATCAAATCACTAACTTTGTGTTGTATAGACAAAATAACCATTTCACTAGTTTCTCTCTTTTATGGGAATTTTAAATTTAGCCTTAAGCAGACATAACCTTACTGAGAAAGATATTAGTAGGTAGACTGTAAAGAAAAGATCTCTTTCTCTCTCTGTACCTAAGCTCATTTTAAAAATAGTGACAAAGTAAGGAAGGATCCACAGAGGAAAACCTACCCCCCAAATGGCAGGTCAGGTCATAAATACACACGCTTACATGCAGGCAGACTGGGGCAGCCCCCTCCTTGACACCCAGCCCTCTGTTGGTTGGGCT